TGGGAGGTTCATTTGGAGATTTAAAAACTGAATTACCAACTTTTTTAATTAGAGAAGAAAAAATTTGCAAGGAAGTTCTATGTATAAGTATAATCTTGGCATTTAGGGTGCTGAAAGAGGATGACTGTGTGAATTCTAGCCAGTTTGGACTTCGTAGTACATACTGATTAAGCTTGAGGCCAGTGTAGACTATATGGAGTGACAGCTGTAATAGTGGTTTGTCTTAGTTTGAAGTAATATAGCAAAGTACCATAAATAGACTGGTACACACACAATAGAAATTGGTTATAGTTTTTGAAACTGAAAAGTCAAAAGTTTCTAAGTCCAGCAGATAGCAAGCTGGGTGGTGGTGGTGTACACTGTAGCATGAATCTTAGAGGGTCTTATTAATAAAAACAAACCTGAGGCCAGTTATTGGTGAACGCTGGAAGATCAGAGAGAAGACAGAACAAGCCACAGCTACCTCACCTTGCCACTTCCTCAGCTGATCCTGTTTTCCTTAGACTGGATGTCTCTGAGTCCTTATCCAGAATGAATCTCAGCTGAACTGTGCTGCTCAAAGCCTAAAAGCTTAACCAGCCAAATGCTTACCTAGCCAAATGCTTCTATTCTAGTTCTGGTCCTCACGCCTTATATATCTTTCTGCCTTTTACCATCACTCCCTGGGATTAAAGGCTCGCTTTCTGGGATTAAAGGCGTGAGTCACCATGCTTGGCTGTATTCTTGAACAGATGGATTTCTGCCTCTGGAATGCTAGGATTAAAAGCGTGTGCTACCACTGTCTATCCTAAGTATTTAGTGGCTTTTCTGTTCTCTGACCCCAGATAAGTTTATTAGGGTATACAATATTTTGGGGAACACAATACCACCACAGTACACCTTTAATCCCAGTGCTTGGGAGGCAGAGGCAGGTGGATATTGTTATATAGAAAAACCCTATCTCGGAAAACAAACAGAAAACCAAAAAACAAAGCCAGCAGATAGCTAGCTTAACTAGCTTCTATTCTGTTGGTTTCAATGTGGCTGAAAGATCCCTAGTTTCTTTTTATTTGTTTGGTTTTTTTTTTTTTTTTTTTTTCCAAGACAAGATTTCTCTGTGTAGCTCTGGTTGCCCTGGAATACCTTCTGTAGACCAGGCTGGCCTTGAATTCAGATCTGCCTCCTGAGTGCTGAGATTAAAGGCGTGCACTTTAGCTATCTCTGGTTTCTTATAGGTGGTAGTTCATTTGTGAGGGCTTTGCCCTCATGATTTGATCAACTTCTACTAAGGTTTCTACTTTGACTGGTATTTCAATGTATATAGATGATAGAACACATTGAATCCATAGCAGTGTCCTGCTGTTTATCATGGTGGCAGCAAATGAAGCATGGATTTGGTAGTGTGTATAAGAGCAATACTCTGTTCATTTTACATACTAGAAATTGAAAGGTAAACTGGGTAAGATTGTGCATGACTTTGATCCCAGCACTTGGGAGGCAAAGGCAGGTGGATTTCAGTGAGTTTAGGGCTAACCTGGTCTAGATAGTGAGTTCCAGGACAGCCAGCTATGTAGAAAGACCATAAAGAAATTAGAAGGTGATTTTGAAAGTGCCCAATGGTAAATTAGGAACATCTTATTCAGAAACAAGAAAGGAACAGCCAAAAATACAGAAGCAGTTGGTTCTGGAGAGGGAAGAGGGGGATTTTCAGTGTCTCAGATACATTTGTCGAACCATGTTTTGCTAACTGATAAGAATAAAAGGTCCAGTTAAGCTTATACCATATCCTTAGGGTGGCTGATCATGCCTTTGAGAACATGAACATCTTGTGTCAAGAATGACTTTCTAGCAGGAAAATAGCATGCCCAAGAAGTAAAGACTATGCCCTGTGTAGTGATGAGCTAAGACAATTCTTTGGAATAAGGATACTTACTTGAGTTCTTCTGTATAGGACTTAGTGGTAAGTGAACTTCAAAAGCTGAATTGAGCATTTTACTACTGTTCTAGTTTTGTCTTACGTTGTCAAGTCAAATAAGAAGTGCTAAGAGTGTGTATGAATTTCCTTTAGTTCTTCTATATCTTACAAGCTTAATAGCCTTTGGGTATACAACAAAGCGGGACCACACAGTTTTACAGTGTAAGGACCATTGACATCAAAGCAGTAGTACAGAATTTAGTACAGAGCTGTAGTATAGAACTTCTAGTCTAAACTGTTCTCCATGGTGTGGAAAAGGGAAGGAAGATGGCTTTTACTTGCTGACTTCAACTAAACTAGAGCATTGTGAGGTACTTATGTAAAAGTTTAAAGAAACAAACATAGTGTACAACACATTTCTGCTCTAGGGTAGAGGCATGGTGATGGCTGCAAGTTTAAGGGCTATCAGGGCTACATATTAAGATCTGTCTCTGGAAACAAAATCACCGAAGGTTTTTTACTTTAAAGCCAGAGGGGCAGTGTGAGAGCTAGAATTCCAGCATGGCACATCTCTGGAGTATGCGTGGCCCAGAGGGAAAAGGAAAAATCAGCTGGGCATGGTACATACACAGCTGTAATCTTAGCTAATCAGAAGGATGAAGTAGGAGAATTACATTTGATGACAGGCTGTACAGCTTTGTAAAACCCTTTCCTCACAGAGCCTAGGATTTTTAACACCATAGTGAAGGATTCTCACAATATGTGAAAGGTTGTGTGTTCAAGCCCCAATACTGCCAAAACAAAAACTGGCATTTGCCTGTTAGCTACTTAGAAAGATGAAACTTGGAGTCCGTCAATTCAAGGATAGCCTGGGTAACATAATGACATCTTGTCTCGGGAAAAAAATTTATGGAATTAAGTGAATTACTGGATGTATTTTCAGTCCTTAGAATATGATTTTGACAATGTGTCTAGAATTTGAGTATACATATGTATCATAGTTTTGATAGTTTTATATTCTAGTAACATGAAATGGTGTGCCTTAAAATTAATTTTGTTTGCCAGGTATAGTGGACATATGCCTATAACCCAGCATTGCAGCATGAAGGCTGGAGGATGAAGTTTTCAGGATATTCTCAAAGAATAATGAATTCCAGGACAGCCCAAGATCCTGTCTTCAAGGGAGAAAAAAAAGGCAAAGTGGTATTTTGTATTAAAAAGGATGACAGGGAGACAGGCAGTGGCACACACCTTTAATCCCAGCACTTGGGAGTTAAAGGCAGGCAGATCTCTGAGTTCAAGGTCAGCCTGGTCTACAGAGCGAGTTCCAGCTAGGCTTCGCACAGAAACCCAGTCTTGAAAAACAAAAAAAAGGAGGTGGGGGTGCGCTGACAGGAATGCAGATTTACAGTAGGTTTTGTTTTTGAAGTTCTGGCCATCAGCAGATCACAGTAAACTATTGCACGTTATGGTTTTCTGTAGGTCATGCTTTCCCTTGAAGTCAATCCAGTTTGTAGGCTCATCTGCTGGGTTAGTAAGTGTTCTGTTATGAACACCCCCACCCCACATTTAAATCTTTTTTGACCTGATAGATTATAAATGGGGTTTGGGCTGGGTTATAGCTCAGTAGTAGAGTATTCAGGAGGCCCTTGGTTCAATTTCCAGTGCTAAACCTGGGTGTTGAGCACACCTGTCACTCTAGCACACGGCGGCATCAGAGGTTTGGGAGGATCGGGAGCTCAGGAGCTCTAGACAGCCCAGGGGAACGTAACATAGTGTACCTCTCTTTCAGAAAAAAACAAAACAAAGGTAAGCAACCAATTGGGTTGCAGAGGCAGAAAATAATTTGTAAATTCTAAAGGCTGTCTGTCTACGAAAGTATTTTACTAGTGGTTGCAGTAAGAGCCCTTTTGGCTGAAAACTATTTACTACTGTGTTGTCATATGGCAAAGTGAGGTGAAGGACCTTTGGGGTCTCTTACAAGGTTATTAAATACTTTATATGAAAGTTCTGTCCTTAAAATGTATTTATTTACTGTCTAAAGACCCTGTCATCACTGGGATTACAATCTGAAACATTAATTTTGAGGGGGGCACATTTTAACCTAGCATTACCTAGTTACAGTAGTTTTTGTTGCTTATAAGACAGATACTTAATGAAAATTGATCAGTGGGTATGTATAATTCATGGTGTTACCTGAAACAGTCACAGAAATATAAAAGAGAGTGAAAATGTTACATATTGTCATCATCTGATTCATCTTCCTTCAAGGATTCCTCAGCACATTTGTTTCCTCCCATGTATCTTTCAGAACAATATCTTTCTGAAGTTAGTTCACCAACCTAGCTGAACTCTAATTCAAAAGCTTTATCCTTAACTATATCATTTATGATATAAATTATTTTTGCAACTTCTTTACATCATGGAGTGTCGGTGACTATTGGGGTCCAGCCCCTAATAGTCTCCTTTCCAGGGTCCGGGGAAGAATCTATCAACCAGCTGAGAATCTATCCTTTAAAGTCGGCAAATCAATCTACGCACGCAGAGTTCTTTGGTCCATTTGCTTTAATTCCATCCTCACGTCCCTTGCTTTACAGTTATATATCCCCCCCAAATCACAATCCTCCCCTCCACCCAGGACACTCAGCCTGAACTTCCTCAGGCAGTGATTGTCCGCTATCAGGATCAAATGGAGGGGTGATAAGAATCACAAAGAGGGGCACTAGTTGTTAATTACCATTTGTGACCCAAAGGGGAAGTGACTAATGAATTAACTAAAGGCTAAATATGGGTAATATCTAAGAAGAGGAATCTTATGTGCACAGCTATAATCTTAAATGTGTTTGGTAAAAGATGTTAAAAATCTGTAAGTTGCTAGGTCAATGGGAGAGAATAAAAGTGTCTTCTTTTTTCCTGTGGCTCCTATCTGTCCAGGCTGTCTGCCGTTTTTCTGCAGGGTGGGGGAAAGTGTGCTCATTCTCTAGGCAACCTGCGTACAGGTAGATGCCTCTGGTGATAGTTAAAGGGAGATCTGGAACTGGAGGTAAAATTTGGGAAAGGAGGAAGTTAAGCTTAATTGGCACATCTGCCAGGCCTTCTCAAACAGGTAGCCTGGATTAAGTCTGTTCTTAGAGAGTACAGAGGTATCTCTGATAAGGTACTTTCCTCCATCCGGTGATGGACCTGGCCGGATGCTACCAATAAGGATAATTACAGGGAGGCTTGAACTGGGAGTTCTGGCTGAGCATAGGTGTTAGCACAGAAGGTTATCCAAATATTCCTAGAAGTGGTTAGGTAAGGAGTTAGAGGTCTATAAAGTTAGTAAGGCTGTAAGAAAGGAGGGTCTGAGCTGAATTGTGTAAAGCTATTACTTAATGTCTACCTGACCTAGGCGGTGTCTCCTTGTGGAATTTACCTTAAGTCAGGAGACTTGTATGTGGGCTGTTATCACTGTTAGTCCTCGGAAATTGGGCGACCACCTGGGCGGTGTCTCCTCGTGGAATTTACCTTAAGTCAGGAGACTCCCCTGTGGGTGGTTATCACTGTTAGTCCTCGGAAGTTGGGTGACCACCTGGGTGATGTCTCCTTTAGTCCTTGAAAATGGCTAGGGGAGATATCTGATTCCAGAGAAAGCCGTTCCTGAGGCTGTTCTCCAAATGCCTGGAATGTGTATGTCTAGAGAGTAATCAGTCCACACTGTTAGTCCTTCTTAGGGAAAAGTCAATTGGGAAAACTATGAAGGCACACATGATTTTCATAACAGAATACAGCTGATATATAACAAGCCAAGTAACACCAAAAACTCCTTGGGATTTGGCTTCCTCTGGAGGAATTCCCTGACCCCTCCAGGTAGTGACTTTGCCATAACCAGCTGAGTTCTTATGATATATTCCTGCGGCCCGCAGCAATGGAGGGTCATTTCTTTCATTTGAAGCTTTTCTATTTCTGTTTTGCAGCTTTCCTGGCTTTGCCAGTTGGCACAGCCCCAATAAATAACTATATGAAATACCTGATGGGTCAGTCCTACAGAGCTCTGTATTATCATTTGCACTGTAAGACCTCAAAATGAAACTGTAGCCCAAAGGTCTAGTCGCACCATAATGTGTATAAGCATATACATACATGACTACTCTTGACCATAAGATGTTCTAGACTCGAGAGACATCTAGAATTTCGAGAAATGGTAGATAGAAAGTTGGATGCTGCTTCTCCAGCTCTGCTAAGGAACAAGCATCTGACAGTAAATATACTCCTGTCATATCAGCATTAAAAAAAGTTTGGAGCCTTCCTAAAGTTTCCAAAGAACTAATTTTTCTGCTTCAAATACAGCACTACCTTACATCTTCTCCAAATAGCTTTTTACTGTTTCCACAGCATTCGTGGCATATTCAACTTCCATCAGGAGAGAATGTAGAGGTTGACAGGTCATACCTGGTACAAATGGAGCTCATGGTGCTGGCCTACCAGACTATGGAGGACTTGCAGGCTTGAAGAGAGTGTGTGTGTGTGTGTATACATACACAAAATAAGTACACACACACAAAAAAGGAAAGTGGGCATGTGGTTTGAGACAGGGCCCTCTGTAGTCCTGACTCTCCTGAAACTTGCCAAGTAAACCAGGGCAGCCTCAAACTCACTAAGATCCACCTGCCTCTGCATCTGCTTTTATAACAGATGAAGTGAATCATTTTTCAAGAGCCTGTTGAATTTCGAGTTTTGCTTCTTGCTATGTAGCCCAGTCAGGCCTGAAACTGGAGTCCTGCTTCTGCCAGTGAAGTGCTGGGATTGTAGGAATATGCCACCCACTTCTTCCCTTTTTCAGTTTTTTGAGACATGATCTCCCTCTGTAGCCCTGGCTAACCTTGAACTTGTAATCCTGCTTCAGCCTGTCAAGTGCCGGGGACCACAGACCTGTGTGGTCATGCTTAGCTTTTTTTTTTTTTTTTTTTTAAATCTTCTTATGTCTAACTTCCACCTTGTTTTTAAATTGGTATATATAAATTGGATATCAATGATAGCTCTTGGATATTTCACTTAATGATTTGTCAGGTAAGAAAGTTTAATTACATATCCATAGTATCTGAGCTTTGGGCATTTTCAGATAACTAGTGTTTTGTCTTAGACTGGGAGTTTTTTTATACTTGACCATAAGAATATTGTTCCTTTCTACAAAAAAGATTTACTTTTGTTTCATGTATGTGTTTTTTCTACGTGAATGTCTGTGTGCCATGTTCATGCCTAGTGCCTTCAGAGGTCAGAAGAAGAGCATGAGATTCCTTAGAACTGGGACTTAGATGGTTGTAAGTCACTGTGTGGGTGACAGGTCCCCTGCAAGAGCAGTAAGTGCTCCTAACCACTAAGTAATCTCACTAGCTCCACTTTTTACACTTTTGTACAATTTACATTTTAAATTTTTGCTTATTTTGTGTACATACACACGCGCGTGCGCGCACACACACACACACACACACACACACTCACTCACTCACTCACTCACTCACTCACAGTGCGCCATGTGCATGCTGTTACCCTCAAGTCCTGAAGAGAGGCATCATATCCCCTTAAACTGTAGTTACCAGCCATTGTAAACTGACATAGGGATGTTGGGAAGGAAACCCAGGTCCTTGGCTAGAGCAGCAGTTGTTTAACTCCTGAGCTTTTTTTCATTCTAGTCCCATATTTTAAATTTATTTGATAAACAGTGTGAGGTGAGTGGCTGACTTTGCTATTTCGATGACCACGTAGTTAAAAAGGGCCAGTGAGCTGTTTCAGTGAGTTAAAGATGATTAACTTGAGTTCAATCCCCAGAACCTTTGGTGGAAGGAGAGACCCGACTGTTGAAAGTTGTCCTCTGGCTTTCACATGTGTACATTTTGATATACGTATACATCACATACATAATAATAAAGTTTCAGCTACAGCAAGGCTAGGGAATTGTGGCTTTTTATTTTGGGTGGTGTTGAGGTGTAGGGTCTTTCTGTAGTTCTGTCCTGAAGCTTGCTCTGTAGACTAGGCTGACCTTGTACTCTCACATCATCCTGCCTCTGCCTCCTAAATGCTGGGACTAAAGGCCTGCACTACTGTGCCTGTGTTTTTTAGTTTTGTTTTGTTTGGAATGAAGGATGCCTCCTACCCTGTAATTAACACCTTCATCTCCAGGGAAACTATTGCTCTAGACCAATTTAACGTACAACCTCTGGGGGCAGAATCAGGCATGGAATAAATTGGGCTGGAGTGTTTTGATTATTAATAGACTTGCTGTAATCAGGATGCTTTATCTTTTGGAGGAACTTGGTTAAGGATTTTACTGTCAGAACCTGTAGTTCTTTCTAGGTCAATTATCATATAATATCCAGAGTCTGCTCTTCAGAATTGAATCCAGAGAGCCTGTTAGTCTTAATGGGTAAACATTTCCTCTCCTCACCTGTTCCTTCTCAGTCTAGTAATAGTTTGCATTTTGGGTGGGCAACATGCAAACCTAGTTTGTATCAGGAACACAGTTTTTACATTTAGTTTTGTACTAGGGACTGAACCTAGGGTTTCATGAATGCTGGCAAATGCTTCAAGCCACATTTCTGTTGTGTGTTGAGGAAGGGGTTCATGCAAAAGATTGTATGTGTGTGAGGCCAGAGTTTGAAACAGACCCACATTTTTATTTATTTATTTATTTTTTGAGAGGGTCTCTGTAGCCTTAGCTGTCCTGGAAATTGGTATGTAGATCACACTGATCTACAACTCATGAGAGATTTGTCTGCCTCGGCCCCTCAATACCCTGCTAGTATTAAAACTGTATACCACCATGTTTGGCCTCTTCATCCTTAAAAAAAAAAAAAAGTGTCTTAAATTTTGTGGTGGTGGTGCACACCTTAAATCCCAGCACTTGGGCGGCAGAGGCAGGCCAGTCTCTGAGTTCGAGGTCAGTCTGGATTACAGAGTGAGTTCCGGGATCGCCAGGGCTGTTAAACAGAGAAACCCTGACTCTGCTACTTTTTCACTCCTGTTTGTAGCAAAACCTTTTCTATTGTTTGCTTTCCAGTTATTGCTTCAGTTGTTTTTGTTTTTTACATTATTTTTTGTATGTGTGAGGTGCTTGTGTGTGCTGTGGCATATATGTGGTGGTCAGCAGACAGCTTGTAAGAGTTGGTTCTTCAGTATGGGTCCTAGGGATAGAACTCAGGTTGTCAGGATAAATGGCAGAGCCCCTTCCTTTATTTTTCTTTTAAACCTATTTTAATCCAGCTTTTCTCTCTACCACTCCAGAGTTAGTTCTGCACTAAGCCATGTCATTTTTCATTTTAAAAGACTGTTCTGTTTGTCCTACATGATGTCTTCACCACTGAGGCTTAATGGAAGCTCCGTTAATATAAAGCTTATCCAAATAAGCTTTATAAAATTAAGGACAGTAAATAAGAGAATTAGGATATATAGCATTGTAGTGCATAGTAGTGTTAGAGGATGTGGAGAACTTAAGCAGTGAATATATGTCCATGATTTTATAGTGAGGTCTAACTTTTTTTTTTAAGAGAGAAATATAGCTAAAATTTAATTTAAAATGAGAGGCAAACAGATACCTGGGGAGAGAGTTGTACGTAAGATAGCTTTAGCAGAGACACCATATACCTGGTCCGTTATAACAACAGTAAGGAGGGAGGTAACAGGAATGGTCCAGAAGGCAGGGATGGGACTGATCATTTCAGGTCTCTTTTAAAAATGGGATGAATTTGTGTTGCAGGGCTTTAAGCAGAATAGTAATGTGATGTAAATTTAAAGAAAAATTGGTGTTGAGGAATCAACCCAGGGGCCTTGTGCATGCTAAGTGTAATGTCCCTAACCCTAAACACATACATCTCCAGACTTTTAAGACAAGGTCTGGCTGGCTAAGTTAACTGGGTTAACTCTCTGTAGCCCAGGCTAGCCTTGAATTTAGGATCTTCGTGCCTCAGCTTTCTGGATTGCTGAGGCTAATGCCACTAAACCCAGTCCTACATTTTTTGTTATTTATTATTAAATTTTTTATTCATCAGGTGGTGGTGGAACATGCCTTTAGTTCTAGCACAGAGGCAGGCAGGTCTCTTGAGTTTGAAGTCAGCCTGGTCTACAGAATGAGTTCTAGGACAGCCAAGGCTATACTGAGAAACTATCTCAAAAAAATTTTTTTTCAATGATTTTCTAAGATACAGGATCTTAAAAGTTTTCCTCAAGGGGTTGGAGAGATGGTTTGACATACCCACATTAGGCAACTCACAACTGCCCATAATTCCAGTTCCAGGACCTCTGCCTCTTAAGGCACACACATACACATACATACAAATTAAAAGTGTTTATTTCCTCAAATACTTTGTCCTCCCTTCAGGATTCCAATACTACTACATCTACATGTTTTACATTGTCCCATCACTTCCTGATACTTGTTCATTTAAAAACAAGGGTTGTCAAGATGGCTCAGTGATTAAAGGCGCAAAGCTTATTAGTCTATACTAACTGTACAATTTTGGATTTCTGTGTGTGGGTGTGTGTTATGTGCATATGAATGCAGTCTCATCAGAGGCCAACAGAGGGCATCAGATCCCTTGGAGTGGGACTTAAAAGGTGGTGAGCTGCCCAGTGTAAGTGTGGAAAACCTAGCTCTGGAAGAGCAGTAAGCAGCTCTTAATCTCCGAGTCTACTCTTCAGCCCCTTACTTCTCTTCTCTTGTTACTCTTCAACTTTCATTGATCCTTTTCTTCCCATCTAATTCACTATCCTTCTACTTGGTTTTCTTTTTGGTCCCAGGAAGTTTATTTAGGACTGCTTACAGCAGCGTGGGTAACTTAGCAGTGGCTCTACTACTGAAGAAAGTGTCTCCCTCCCCTAGCAATATTACTGGTGAGGATCTATAATATAGTGGAATGTTGATAGTCCCAATTTTGTGCAGGCCTTAATGAAGTAATCGGTGCTGTTGTGAGTTCATTAGTTTAACAACCAAGTTAGGAAGACAGCATTTCCCAGTGCCATCTCCCCTCACTCTTACATTCTTTTTTTGTTTGTTTTGAGACAGGGTTTCTTTGTATGACTGCTCTGGCTATCTTGGAACTCTTTGTAGACTAGGCTGGCCTCGAATTCACAGAGATCCTCCTACCTCTGCCTCTTGAGTACTGGGATTAAGGCATGTGCCACCACCACCCAGCTCTTACGTTCTTTTATGTGCCCTCTTCATTGATATTTCCTTAATTCTGGATGGTAAGTGTAACAGATGTCCCATTTAGGGCTGAGTATTCAACACAGTTAATTCTTCATACTTGACCAGTTAACAAGTCTCAACCACAATTGCTGTCATCTGCAAAAAGAAGTTTCTTTGACCAAAGCTGACAGTAGCACTATTTGGGCACAAACATGAATGCTTCTTTATAAGGGCACAAAATGTTTGTTTAAAAACAACAGTAATAGCTTTCTGTTTAGGGTCTATGACTTCCCTAGTCATAGGTCTCTTTGACTAGGTGAGAATTCTCTTCTGTGGAGTGGGGCTCTGATCCAATCACAAAATGGTTGGTGTCCTCATCAGAGCAGTCATGCCGTTATTGTATCAGTAGGCATATTTTGGCTGGCAAATAAGTGTGACACACTGCTGAATAAGCCTGCTGATTACTTTTCTCCCCAAATTGGTTTTGAACTCACTATATAACACAAGATGACTCTGAACTTCTGATCCTCTTGCCTGTACCTCTTCAGTGCTGAGATTACAGGTGCATTGTCTTAAACTTAGCTTAATTCACTTAATTTCATACAATGCACTGGTTTTGAATGCAGGTCAATACATTTTGACAAACACATTAACAAGTGGTGGTGATATCACCACAATCAAAATGAAGGTCATTTTTGTCTACAAAAACTCTTGTGGTGCTTTGCAGTTAATCTCAACCCCTGATCAGTTCTTAGCTTTAACATAGTTATATAGTCTTCCAGGGCCTTCCAACCTCTTCTGAGTTTTCTCTTTCCCTCTCTGACCTCTTGATATAGGAGACTCCAGAGAGCTCTTACATTTTGTTCCTTGTCATCTTCCTGTCTCCAGTACACTTAAGTGAGCCAGTGAATTCAAGGGCTTGCTATACTCAGAAATTCCCCATTTTGTATCTTCAGCTCAGATTCAGCAGGAAAAATTTCAGATTTATCTTATTGCTCATTTTACCTTCTTGTTTGTGTGATGTTTCAAATTAACTAATTTCTACAACTCGTCATGTAACTCAATTTCTGAACTCCCTCCACTATACACCCTCCTGTAGCCTTCCATCTCAGTCTGTTGTGTTCTACTGTTTCAGGCACACTACACTGATGTTTTGAAACATGTTAGATCCCCTTTTCCCTTTGCATTTGGATCTGTCGGTGCCCTTTCCGATGTTATACCATTCCATGTCACAACCCCACAGTTCAAGGGACTAATCTGCATTCTCAGGTATGTATTTTCCTGGGGCTGGTGAGCTGGTAAAAGCCCTGCCTGGTACTTGAGTTAGTGCCAAGACATCCTGAATATATTTGTAATTTCCCTTTGTAGACAGTAGTCCTTAGTAAATCTTACTGGTTGTTGGGCAGGAAGAATAACATGTACTTACTAGTACATATCTGTAATCTTTGTTTTTGTTTTTGTTTTTTTCGAGACAGGGTTTCGCTGTGTAACTTTGCGCCTTTCCTGGAACTCACTCTGTAGCCCAAGATGGCCTCGAACTCACAGAGATCCACCTGCCTCTGCCTCCGGAGTGCTGGGATTAAAGGCGTGCGCCACCACCGCCCGGCCATATCTGTAATCTTTAATTACTCATGAGACTAAGGTAGGAGGATCAGAAGTTCAAGGGTTGCCTGAGCTATATGGAGTGAATTCAAGGTCAGCCTAGGAACTTACAAGTTTCAAGCAGAGGATTCTCTCTCAACAAAGAGAAGAGTACTTGGCATATGGCATACTAAAACACTAGATTTAGTACCTATATTTTACTAAGGGGGTGGGGGTGGTGAGCTATGGCTATATTTGCCTGTTCTTCAGTCTTTGGCTATTTTACAATATCCCTCTAGATCAGTATTTTTCTGTATAGCTCCATCTCTGCTGTGACATTTGGCAATGGTAAAGGCTACGTGTACCGAGAGTGTGTATTTTGTGGTACTTGCCCAATTTCTTTGCTTATTCATGGACCATTTACATAAAACTGTGAGACAGATAGGAAATTTTCTGCCCCAGTATAAATATATATAATATATAAATATATAAAAATAAAAATATATGCCCCAGTTTCTACTGCTGAGCTCTAACCATTACAAGCCCAATTTACTTCCTGCAATACATAAAATGGGCACTTGGTAGTAAATGTTTTATGGAAACTATCTCTTGAATATATCACCTCTGCCTTCTCTACCCCAACTGGTTCATTTCTTTTTTAAACTATGTTTTGCATGCATGTTCGTGTGTGTGTGTGTGTGTGTGTGTGTGTGTGTGTGTGTGTGTGTGTGTGTGTGACACTCAGGTCCTCTGCAAAAGCAGCCAATGTTCTTTTAATTTATTTTTGTTGTTGGTGGTGGTGACAGTATCTCTTTGTAGGCCCTGGCTGTCGCTATGCTTGCTATGTAGATCAGGCTTGCCTTGAACTTAGAGAGATTCTCCTACCTCTGCCTCCAGCATATGGGATTAAAGGTATGTACCATTTCCCCTTGCTAAAAAGCAGCCAGTGCTCTTAACTGCCTTAGCATCCATTTGTATACAAAAAACAAAAACAAGAAACAAACAAAAAAAACCTGAGTGACATTCAAGGACCATATTCTGGATTCTAGAGTGGTACTACAGGACTCAAGAATGGTCATTTGTAGGCTAGAATTATCCCAGCCAATGAGTTTAAGAGTTTAGCAATGTAAAGCCCCTTGTAATGGCTTACGCCTTGAATCTAGTACTTGGGAGATTGGAGGATTGCCAGAAATTTGATCTTAGCCAAGTTTACATACTAAGTTCCTGAGATAGAATAATAAATACCCTGTCCCAAAAAAAACCAAACAGCACTCTAGAAAGGTAGGAAGGCAAATATATGGATGTATCTTAGGCCCCAGGAGCCCTGTCTCTTGAAGAGCAAATAGGGGAAGTATGACATGTCCCAGGATTGCCCTGTAACTTGGAGATGTAAGCCCTAAGGGCAGAACTGCTTCTCTCAGCCTGACCTAGACCCTGCCTGCAGCTTCATTTCTCCTATTTTATTTTTTTTTAAGACCGTTGTTTTTTTTTCCCCGAGACAGGGTTTCTCTGTGTAGTTTTGGTGCCTGTCCTGGATCTCACTCTGTAGACCAGGCTGGCCTTGAACTCACAGAGATTCGCCTGGCTCTGCCTTCCAATTGCTGGGATTAAAGGCATGCGCCACCACCGCCCGGCAAGACTGTAGCTCTGGCTGTCCTGGAACTCACTACGTAGACCAGGATGGGTTCATACTCACAGATACCCACTTGCTCCTGCTTCCCAAGTTCTGGAATTAAAGGCAAGTGCTGCTACACCTGGTTCACGTCTCCCTCTTGATAGTTCCATCCTGGCCAGCTTGGGCCACTGCCAGCTGCCCAGTTGGCCTTGCTATATGAAGAATGAGAACTTCTCTTTCTGATGTGTTATGGGGGCAGGACTCTAGCTTTTCAGGACCTTTGCCAGTTGTTGATTTGTGTTTCAGTTTTTTGTCCTTCAGTTTCCTAAGGTAAACAAGCATCAGGAATTGGGGTGGGGCTTTTTCTTTACTGGAGGTATGGTAAATCATTTAGTATTTCTAAACTTCAGTTCCTTTAATTACTGGGAGAGCCAAATAAAATCATTTGGTCTTATGGATTAGCAGAGATAATGATGGATATGTGAATTCTATTTGGTCTGGATCCTTAAAGGTCCATCAAACTGAAGCACTTTTTAGAATTCACCTTGCCAGACTTTTGTTCATCCTGTGAGTTCTTGGAGTGGATTTCCTGCACTTGAGTTCCCTTGACATAGGCCCACTCTAACAAAAGCATCCCTAGCACAGATTCTTTTGACAAATAATTGATTCTTCCCTGGGATATGTATTTTTTTTTTCTTTTCTCTCTCTCAAATTTCCAAGGACAAAAACTCCCCAAGGTCCTACTGAGTGAAATTCTGAAAAACCACAAACCTAGGCAGACTGCTTCCCTTTGGGGGGGTGGGGTAGCATTTTGCAGACAACCAACCTCTTTCTGTCCTTGGGAAAAGCTCCTTGCAGTACATTGCATAGTTTTCTGTGCCTGTCTTCACTGTGTGGCTGGAAATCAGAGGAAAGTAGTAGGTCAAAGGCTGTCTCAGGCAGACCTAAAAGATGAAGCAAGGCTTTGTTACAAGAGCTTGTGCCAAGCAGAGCAGAGCCTTAGTACTTAGTAGTTCTGTGCCTCTCTCCCAACCCCACAAAGGCATTGTACTAACACCAGGAAGTTTTCAAGGAACCTGGCTGCTTTTCTCCCAGGCAGTGAAAATATTTAAGTCAGCATTTACTTTCCCTTGTATGAGTGTTTCACAGAATGCTGCTGCTATGGCTGAGCCTTGCTTGGGTCAGTACCCAGGGCTCTGCCTCACCCAGCCAGCTGCACAGGAAGAAAATCATGGAAGCAAAAGGCCTCTGACTCCCTCTCCCCCCAAATTGGGCCAGCAACTTCCCTCAGTTCTCATCATCCCTCACATTCACTCTCTCTGTAGCAACTGATGTGTAGTTCTGATTTTTTGTTTGTTTTTTTTTTTGAGAGAGTATCTCATTGTTTATCCTAGCTGGCCTGGAACTCATCATGTAGACCAAGCTGGCCTTGAACCCTCATGGATTCACCTGCCACCACTGACATTAAAGGTATGTGCTACCATACCTGGCTAGTGTAGTTCTGCTTAAAAAAAAAAAAAAAAAAGTTAAGATTTTTTTTTTTTTTTTTTGTATTAGTGTTTTGCCTATGTGTATGTGGACCACATTTGTGCCTGGTATCTAAGATATTGGACCCCTTGGGACATGAGCCACAATGTGGGTGCTGGCAATGGAACTTGGGTCCTCAATCCTTTGAGGGGTACTCATGTAACTCAGACTATCCTTGAGTTCACTGTGTAGTAGAGGATAACTTTAAATTCTTGATCCTGCTACCTTTACCTCTCAAGTCCTAGGGATTGCAAGTGTGTTTAACATCATCAGGATTTCCATTCTTAATCTTTAAGTGAAAGTAAGTGGTGGTGGCAATGCAGTAATAACCCCAGAACTTTGATTTCAGACCTATGTTCCTAACCTACCTTTCATATTCATCTCAGTAGTCTCTTTAAGATCTCCAAGTGACTCTGTCATCCCGTGTTCTGTACTATTTCATTCAGACATGGCCTGGCCCACAGCAGGTGCTCAGCCACTGTTGAATAGAAAAGTCAGCTTGATCGATTTCAGAGATTTAAGCCCTCCCCCCAGACTGCCACCTGATAATCTTTATCTGTGAACCCTTTCCTATCTACAAGGTATTGTTTTAGACCTCATCTATGATCTGTTCTTACTTTTCCATCAGTGATCTCTAAAGAAAAATTAATGAGCTTATAAGTCTGTGTCTTCTAAAAAATCCCTTCACAGTCTTCTACAAGGCTCTGCATGAGTGGTTCCCATCACTTACTCTTCGGGTTTCCTCCACAGCTTTGCTCAATCCTCAGAGCTGCCTTTTTGGCTAATGGGTGTGTTTCCCTTTCCCTCCATTTGGGATAGCCATCCTCTCTCTATAGTACTCTGATGTTTATACATTAGAGTATATTTGGCCTTTCATAGTGCTTAGCACAACTGAATTAAGGTTCACTTCTTTAGTAGGAACACATTGATCACCATATCCTGGTACAGAGCAGGAGTTCAAATAGCAGATAAAGTTCAGGAGCATTTAGAGTGAGATGTCTCATGGGACTCGGAAAGTCTGTTGAGAAACTTCATCTTGGTGAATGAAAGGAATTTTGTACCTATAATATGAAGCTTCTCATGGAAGAACTGAAGTTTAGAAATAAAAACATCTGTTTACTCCTTGGCAGTTCTAACTGGTTGAATACTTAAGCCTTTCCCAGGGTTTATTTATTATGGAGAAGTGAAAGGAAAAAATTTTTTCATATAATTTTACTATCAAGTTGTAGTAGTCATTAGCCACTTAGATTATATAAAGTTTCATGGAGCTGGAAAGATAGCTTAGCATGCTGCCCTTCCAGAGGACTTGAGTTTGGTTCACATCTCCCTGCTGCCCCTGTGGTGGCTCACAACCTATAACTCCAGCTCCAGGGTATCCATTGCTGTCTTTTGGCATTCACGGCACCTGCCTAGACATGACATATAGTCACACAGATACACACATACACATAAAGAATGTAATTTTTTTTTTTTCAAGGCAGGGTTTCTCTGTAGTTTTGGTGCCTGTCCTGGATCTTACTCTAGACCAGGCTGGCCTCGAACTCACAAGAGATCTGCCTGGCTCTGACTCCCGAGTGCTGAGATTAAAGGCATGCGCAAATGGAAATTTTTTAAAAATTGAATTTCTGAGTACTACTAGGTGTAGTTTAAATACTTAAGATTTACATGTGTCTGCAGACTGAACAATTCAATACAAGTTTTGCCAAGTCTTATCTGGCCATGGCTCTCTAGAACTATTTGTTGTATGGGTTTTTTTCCTTGCATGTTCTGCCAATGATTTGAGGGTGTATGGGGATCAAGATACATTAAACTACCATGTTAAGTTTGTCAAAACCTAACGCAGAATACCACTTGAGATTCTGGTGAGGTCAATACCTGCCCATTTTTTGTTGTTTTCTGTTTTGTTTTTTTGAGACAGTTCTGGAGCTTTCTATTTAGACCAGGCTGGCCTCAAACTTAGAGAGATCCTCCTGCCTCTGCCTCCCGAGTCCTGGGACTAGCAGTGTGCACCACCATGACTGGCTTGATAGCTACACATCGTTTTTGCCTGGTAGTATGCATACCAATCACAAAGAAGACCCAGTGGCTTTGTCTTAATTTCTTTTGTGTGATAACAGGGATAGTCTTACCTTTCTGTGGAATGTTAGAGTAACACGAGCTTTTTGTACTTCATTTGCTAATTGGAGTGTGGACATAGACTTTTATACATTGTCATTCTGGCCTCTACTCAAAAAGTCAGAAAATTGTTAAGCATCAAATATGTGGAGTCAGAAGTGGTATACTCTGTAATCAAAGCATGAGAGAGGATGGTGCAGGGTGACAGTTTGACGACAGCCTGGATAACAAAGCAAGCAAGACCCCATCTCAAAAGAAAGTAAAAGGAGCTGGAGAGATGGCTCAGCTGTTAGGAGCACTGGCTACTCTTGCAGATGATCTGGGGTTTGATTCCCAGCACCCATGTGATAGAACTGTCTGTAATGCCTTTTGTAGGTGATCCAGTGCCCTCTTGTGGCCTCCACAGATACTAGGCACATGCAGGCAAAACAACCATTCATGTAAAATAAAATCTTTTTAAAAAGTAGAATGTATGGGGTGGGGTGGGGTTAACTTAGGGGCAAGTACATTAGGCACACACAAGGTTCTGTATTTGATCTCTGACACCCTCAGCTAAAAGAGGAAAATTTCGAATGTAATCAGAATGTTCATGCCACCATTTCTGTATAGGTGACAGTAAAACTTAAGCAAGGTTTGTTCCATCATTCAGTTTTAATATATAGGCGCTAAAGACCTTCAAAGTATTGATTAAAAATTTTTCTTGGGCCAAGTGGTGGTGGTGTACACATTTCATCCCCAGCACTGGAGAGGCAGAGGCAGGAGAATCTCTGAGTTCCAGGCCAGCCTGGTCTACAGAGAGAGTTCTAGGACAGCCAGGGCTACACAGAGAAAACCCTGTCTCATGGAAGAAGGAAAAAACCAACAAAAAGCAACTCAGGATTGGTTTTAGAGGCTTATGCCTTTAATTCTACCACTTGGGAGATTAGAAGCAGGAGAATCAGGAGTTCAAGGCCAGCCTTAGCCATATTGCAAGTTAAGAGGCCACTCTAGGGTAATTGAAACTCTTGAAAAAAATTTTTTAAATTGGGGATGTGGCTCAGTTGGTAGGGTACTTGCACACTACACATGAAGCCCTTGGTTTGATCCCCAGGACTGCATAGAACTAGGTGCAGTGGTACATGCATATAATTCCAGCACTCAGGAGGCAGGATGATCAGGAGATGAAGGTCCTCTAAAGCTATATAGTGAGCCTGAGGTGAGGCTAGGCTACCCTGTCTCAACAATTAAAGTGCTTATTGCTCACCCATAAGACCAGAGGTCAGATCCCTAGGACTCTGAGAAAAACTGGGTGCTGAGGTGAACACCAGAGTTGGGAAGATGTAGAAAGGGGAGACAAGAGGATCCCAGGACTGGTTGGCCAGCTAATTTAGCTAAATAACCTGTATTGACCTCTTATTTCAGCCTGTGTGTATACATATACAAGACACCACTCCCCCCCTAAAAAAAAAAAGATTATTTATTTTTGCTTTTTTGAGACAGAGTTTTTGTGTGCTCTGGCTATCTTGTAACTCACTTTGTGGACCAGGCTGGCCTCGAATTCAGATGCACCTGCCTTCGCCCAACTTTGTTTTTTTTTAATTTAAAATTTTTTAGAAGGGCCATTGAGATAGGCATTTGCTGCAGAAGCCTGATCCCTAGAACCTATGGTGGAAGGGACAGAACAACCTCTGAAAATTTTCTTCTGACCTGAGTGCTCCTGCACTGGCACTCAGGCACCCACACACATTCTCTCTCTCTTCCCTTCCTCCCCCCCCCCCCCCATAAATAAATAAAACTTAAAAAATTAAGGGAGGCTGGAGAAATGGTTGAGTTTTTCTGAAATTGGTCTCAAAAGCTCAGGCTAGCTTCATTTGCTATGTAACTAAAGCTGATCTCCAGCTTTTGATAATCGTAACTCTTATATTGAGTGCTGGAATTACAGGTATATGCGCTGGACTCAGCCTATTTCCTTCTCTGTTTAAAGTATATGTTCTGATCCAGCAAAACTGCCTTACTGACCCAGGTGTAGTGGTGCATACCTGTAATCCTAGCACATTAGAGGTTAAAGGGGTAGGATTAGGAGGTCAATCAAAGTGTCAGCTACATAGTGATTTCAAGACCAGTGTCAACTACAGATCCTGTCTTAAAAACTAATCCTCCCATACCCACCCCCCGCCAAAATCAATCTTACACTCATTTTAGCTAAAGCATGATCCTAGCAGAAATATTAATACTTTGAGAAGTCATTTTTAAGAGCTCCTAAGTCAGTTTATATGAATAACCCCCTCCCTCTGCTTTTGTTGGTGGGGAGAAACAGGAAACTGACCCTGAGCTTTGTGCTTTACCATGGAGGTATATGCCTAGCCTTTTTTTTTTTTTAAATAAGTTTTTGAGATTTTTATGTATATGGATGTTTTGCCACATGCATGCAGTACCCTTGGAGGTCAGAAGAGGACATCAGATTCCTTGGAACTGAAGTTACAAACAGTTGTGAGCCACCAATGTGGGTGCTGGGAATCAAACCCAGATCCTCTAGAAGAGCACTCAGTGCTGTTACTGCTGAGCCATCTTTCCAGCCCTCCTCCTTCCCACTGTAAACATAGGATAACACATCCAGAAATGATGATTTACGTCTAATCCCAAGATTTCAGAGGCAGAGGCAGGAGGATCAAAACAAGTATGAGACTGGTCTGCTCTGTATGGCACATGCCAGGGCCACGTAGGGACAATTTGTCTCAAAACACTGGAGTGGTGAAAGGGAGAGTGATCGTGTGGGGGGTGGGGCAGGGAGATTTTTTTATCAAGCCTATGGGGAGGGTGTTAATCCAAGCCTAAAATGTTTGTTCTCTAAAAAATATTTAAAAATTTTTTTGTGAGTGTATAAGTGGCTGTATGTATATATGTATGATGCCTGATGTATATATGCCTGATGAGCTCAGAAGAGGGCATCACAGATCACCTGGAACTGGAGGTATATAGAGATGGTTGTAAGCCACCATGTGGGTGCTGGGAACTGAATTGCTTGCTTCTAAACAGTGAGCAAGCTGTCCAGCACACTATGCTGTTAAATTAAGTCCACTTGATAAGATTTACTAGATACTCTAGCTTAGCCTTCTTATGACAGGATTTCCTGTGGGGCTTCTATCACTAGTGCGCTGGGTCCTGGAGAAAGGGGCCTGACCACCAGCTCTACGAAAGTGACCAGTGTCTCAAGACACAAACCAACCTGGCTCAGCTGTCTATTTCTGAAACCATAGTGTTCTATTCAACTTCCTTCTACATTTTAGGCATTCACTTATTTGAATTCTATAGCTCAAGCACAACTGGGAAAGAATCAGAAGACACTAGTGGTAAATAACAGTCACTCAATTAGGAAAAGATTAAGTGTTAGAAACATTTATTTGTCCAAAAAAAAAAAAAAAAGGGAGGAGTGGAATAAAACAAGGCTAAATTTCAGCTAATGCTATACCACGATCACAGGTCAGACAAAACCGGGAAAACAAACAAACAAACAAAAATCAAACCAAAACAACAACAAAACCCCAATGGTCCTAGCAACTTCAGAAGTTTAGCTTCAGTGTTAGAGGCCAGAGCTAACAGAAGAGTTAAAGGCTGCCTGCCACTACATGGTCATTTTAAAGGGAAAGGAGATGCTGCAGGAAGGCAGGGACAAAGGGCTCAACTCTTAGGGAAAGCGAGATTAAGAGGGGCTCCACTGTACAGGAAAGGGGGGATGCCAGCATAATCCTTACCTAGGGCTGTTCAGAGGCTGAGAATATAAGGAACAGTGAAAGGCTACAGACAACTAGCATCGAGGAAAGAAGTCAACTTAGAATTAAATTAAGAAGAAAAACATAGTTGGTCACAAATTCCTTTGTTTACTGAAACATGAAGCAATGGAAACATCCCGGCAAAGGGGACCGCGAGGACCAAGTTCTCATATATGACCGCAGCCCGAGGGTTCAGTCCGCAATTATCCTACCTGAAAGAAAGCACAACACAAGAGGCTTACACAATGCCTGGAGAGCAGCCTGGTTCCGAGTACAAGGGCCCTGGTCCCGTCCTGTATTCCAGGGGGGGAGAGGGAGAAACAAAGAACAAAACAAAATCAAGTCAGACTGGGTTGAATGTGTATCCCACAAAATCACCCAGGAGTCTAATAGCTACATCTAGGAACCTGCTTAGAGCTGTATGCTGCACAAGATGCAAACTCAGCTCTCTCCTGTCTTAACTTAGGTAACCCCTGTAGTAGAAGGCTACCACTGCTTCAAAGAAGGTATAAATTTTCAATAGATACAGATTAATTTTGTAGGAATTTTGTCCAGGAAAAAAAGCAAACGATGGTAAGATAATCAGATATAGTCAGCTTCTCTCTTTTCCTTTTTAAGAGATGGGATTTAATTATGTTGCCCACAATAACCATGAACTTCTGTTCTAAAGCAATCCTAAGTAGTTGGGATTACAGGCATCCACCACCCATGCCCAGCCCAATTTTACTATTACAAATGTTCCAAAGAAAACATTCAAAAAAACATAGTCACAAAGACTAGAGTCTCAAAGAACAGCTGGTCATTCACCCTTTAAGTTATCTACATGTCACACTGTCAGTTCAGAACCATAGTTGCAGTAGTTTTCTAATTGACCAAATATCCCTTGACAAATCAAAAGAAGAAACCACTGCTAGGACTGTCTAATTCCTCCATTGATGATGGGAACTCCAGACACCAATGGCTGGGGGAAAAAAAAAGTTAACTCACACCAAGCTCCTCTACTTAATACAGACACAGGGCCAAATCTTGGTCTTGATCTGTGCCAATCGACTTCAAAAGCTGTGATGTTCTTGGATCAGTTCTGTTAGGGTGAGACCCGAATTTGGATCCCCAACAGTTGTAGAGTATTTCATCCTGGCAGCCTCATTAACATCAGGCTCCTGGGACTGCAACCAACTCAGGGTTATTCAGTCCATTTGAGGTTCACACCTGGAAGGTAAGTTTCTTTAAAAGTCATCACTAAAAAGAGGTTAGTTGAACAGCTACTGACTGAAGTTAAAATTCACTTTTAAAATGTCCTAACAATACCCTTAAAGGCTATATTATACTAATTTAATATTTAACTTTTAAACATACTTTAGAAACAAAGTTAACAGATTAATTACTAACTTTATCAAAGGTATTTCAGAGTAGATCCAGCTGTAGAAATTAATAGCAAACTCCATTCACATGCTGAACACCCAAGTCTTATTGACACAACTGTACAGCATATAACTTAACATACATGCCATTGTTTTCTTAACATACAAAATCAGGAGATAAGTTGGGAACACTGGTGTCTCAGTGGTAATTTGTTTAACCGCACTGAAGGGGCTCTAACTCAAGTGATGCTCAACTTCAAAGTACAAGGAAAACCATGAGAGAATTGTATGTTGTAAATGCCATTTCCATTCTAATGAAGTTTACTTGTCTCTGAATATCCCCAATTCTTGCCATTCCAACACTCTTTGTACACACTTCCTGAAATAGGGAAACATTAAATTTCCAATGTCACCACCTACAAGATTTTATATACATCAGAAATTATCAATTTATCTAATTCCTTGAGTGTTCCCTTAAAAAAAAAAACTTGCTGAAAGAAACAGGAATTCTATCATAGGCTACAAAGAAATAGGGCTTAAGTGCCCACAAAAACATGCTGTGAGCTAGAATAAGGACTTCTTGGGACACATCATGAAAACATTGAGAACTGAAGTATCCTAAAACATTAGGGCTTTATCTGATTTAAAATGTAACACGCCTAAGAACTTCATTTGATAAATGCTAATGACCCAAGAAATAGGTAGAAGTTAAGAGTTAAAATTCTCACTGTGCTGTCCATTACTACCTTCCTGATGTACCCTTTACCACCACCATAGCAGTTTAGTAGTGGGAAGAGTATTGATTTTATTATTTATTTTGTTTTTTCAAGATAGGGTTTCTCTGCAGCCCTGGCTGTCCTATAACTCACTCTGTAGACCTGGCTGGCTTCAAACTTAGATCTACCAGCCTCTGTCTCCCAAATGCTGGGATTAAAGGTGTATGCCAAAACTTCCTGGCTGGAAAAAGTATGAATTTAAGAGGTCTGAGTCTGAATTTTGGCTCTATCTCTCATTTACCAGATGATCATACGCAAAGTACTGATGCTCTCTGAGACTTAGTTCTTTCCTAAATGAGGAAATAACTGTTTATACAACAAAGGGCCAATATATGTTAGCTTACTCACACTTCACTCCAACCCCCTACCCCATACCATGTTTCTGTTTACAACTTTTTTTTTTCCTCTTTGGTTTTTTTTTTTTTTTTCCTTGAGACAGGGTTTCTCTTTGTAACTCTGGTTGTCCTGGAACTCACTATGTAGACCAGGCTGGCCTCAAACTCAGATCCACCTGCCTCTGTCTCCCCAGTACCAGGATTAAAGGCATGTGCCACCACTGCCTGGCTTGTTTACAACTTTTAAAATAATAGTCTCACTAACTGAGCTTGTTACTATTTGAGAAGTAACACACTGGAATCATACTAACTCCTCAACAGGCTAATTTAAATAAACCTGTGGTTGAAACTACAGAAAATACTGAAAACATGTAATTTGTGTATTTTGGGTAGGGTCTTGTTTGGTGTTCTGGCTCCTCAGTGAAGCAAAGGTCTCTTGTAGGTAACTAAATGCAAATTTCAACCACATCCACCCAACTCTCACCTCCAGTTTTTAAAAGGCTGAGTACCGTGCTCGGTCCACATACTGCTCCCGCTCATACCGGGCCATGTCATACAGAGAATTCCGTGTCGCTGCTGAAGCCTGAGACATCTCACTCTCTGGCCCATAACCGTAACCCTCTCCAACTGCAGGGAGCACAGCTGCATTCCGACGTAGTGGGCTCCTGTCCCTTCCATAATAGGAAGAGGCGGCGGCAGCCATGGCTGCTGAGGTGGCAGCTGAGCCGGAGTTCTGCAATAGGTGTCTGTCATAGGGATCAACAGAAGTGGAGTTGAGGTGACTGGGTACAGCTGAGCTCTGGACTTGAGGAAGATGAGACATGGTCTGCTCTGCATAATTGTATGCAGAAGCTGCAGCGGCTGCTGCCACAGCTTCATAAGATCGGACCCGGTAGCGCTTATAGTAGTCAAGTGCTCCATAGGCATCGTTGTAATACATGGATTCCCCATAACCCATGGTATAGGGCGTGCGCACTGCTCCATACTGTTCATTGTATTGCTCAGTAAAGTCTGCCACACGCCCTGTACGGTCTACTGGGCACTCTTTGGACCAGTGTCCTTCTTTCCCACACCGATAGCAACCACTCTGGTCTCCCATCCCAGGGGCAGTCCGAAGTCGACTAGTTGACAACTGCACATGCATTCGTTTGCCTTGAGGAAACAGATTAAAACTATTATTATTCATTAATACTCTTTTTCCTCACCCAAATAAAAGTAAACATAAAATACATATACATACACACTCCTGTGAACCTACTTCATTCATTAACCCCTTCCAAAAAAATAAGTTTCAACAGAGGTGAGAGTTAGACTATCAGAGTTCTTAGAGACCAGTCACATACTGTTTAATGCCAGTAGCATATCAGACTCTTCCCTACTTCCATCTCCACAATCTGTTTCCTTCCCCCATGCAAAGATTGCTGTTTTTTTCACTAAGACTGTTAGGTTACTACTTCCAAATCAAACTAGATACCTAACAAAACCTCACTTAACAGTGGTGTTAGAAGGCATCTTTTCCACCTCTAAACAATTCAGTTCGGTCTAAGCTCAATGGAAAAAGCACATGCCTCTTAGCATGTGTGACACCCTGGGCTCAACCTCCAGCACTGCATCAGCCCAAACCCTACAACAATCCCAGTTCAACAGCAATCTTCTATCCACCATGTTTCCTCCAGGAATGTGTGCAGCTGCTATGTTGGGTACCCAAGTCATACTTGGCTATCATTGGCTTCATCTGTACCTGTGGGAATTAAAAGAACCTCTGTAGATTTCAACCCTACCCCTAGTTTTTTCCTCAGGATCAGAACTATTTGAGAAAAGCCTCTTACAAGAGTTAGGTATTAAAACTACCAGCTTTTGGGGCTGGACATGCATCTCAGTGGTTGAGTACTTGGCTCCTGTGTGCAAAGCCAAGTTCCATCCCCAGAACCACACAAAAATAAAGTAAAAATAGTACTAATTTTTTAATTTTAATTTTTACTTATTTGTTTTCAAGACAGGGTTTCTCTGTAGTTTTGGTGTCTATCCAGGATCTCGCCCTGTAGACCAGGCTGGCCTCAAACTTACAGAGATCCGCCTGGCTCTGCTGTCCAAGTGCTGGGATTAAAGGCGTGTACCACTACCGCCGCCCAGTACTAGCTTTTTAGAGACTCTGTTCCCATGTAAAAGATCAGCATTTTTGGACTGGGTATAGTGATCCACACCTCACACCTTTAATCCCAGCACTCAGGAGGCAGAGGCAGGTGGATCTCTGAGTTTGAGGCCACCCTGGTCTATAGAGTGAGTTCCAAGACAGCCAGGACTACACAGAGAAACCCTGTCTTGGGTGGAAGGGGAGTACTTCTGACCCCAGCTGCTAGTAGATAGTCTTCATAAGACCACTGATGATGCAGTAGACAGATAGATAGCAAGCAGATGGCAATAATTCTCTGAAAGCATGTGGCCATCTGAGATTTTAAGTATTCCCAATCATATATAGTTATAAAGGGCTACAGTGCTATATACTTATCAGAAACATTTGTGTCCCCATTTGTACTTCATATGTAGAGTTCTCTATAATTTAGAGGATTAAAAGCCATTTGGTTTTCAACAGACATAGTGACAAATACAGTGATTTTTCCTGAAGTCTCAGCCCTATTCCTACTTTAACTTAAAAGAGGATGAGAGTGCTTTACTTCATCAACATTTGTGGCAAAATCTATTTCTGCAGTTGTGGGAAGGATGCCAGTAAGTTTTTGTTTCTGACTTAGAGCTAAAAACACCTGTAATATAAATGATAGGTGGCTCCATTGTTTTACACCTATTCTTTCCAAAGGTTACAGGGGCTTTCAATTTAAAATCTCAAATTCTGAAACAGTACTATATTTCTCTGTTATCTTTTTTTTTTTTTTTTTTTTTTTTGGTTTTTCGAGACAGGGTTTCTCTGTGTAGCTTTGTGCCTCTCCTGGAACTCACTTGGTAGCCCAGGCTGGCCTCGAACTCACAGAGATCCGCCTGGCTCTACCTCCCCGAGTGCTGGGATTAAAGGCGTGCGCCACCACCGCCCGGCTTTCTCTGTTATCTTTAGAAACAAGTTTTGCCGCTCTACTACTAGACAGATGGAACTCGTAAATTTTCTCAAACTTCAAAGTTAGTGAAATTTGCCAATATCTTCCAGAAAACCAGCCCACTAAAAGTATTTTCCCTTGAAAGCTGGAACAAAAGAGAGTATTAAAATGCTAAAAGGTGGGAAACTTAATTATAAATTCTAATTCTATCTTGGGCCAGAGTCCAAAGAAGACTGGAGATGTAGCTGACATAATAATGATCAACTGATGTTGAAACGACACCCCTAAATTCTTACATATCCTTCCCAATTCAGCTGCCCGGATGGTTACTTGGGAACAGCATCGTTATGGTTTCCAATTCAAACTGCATTCACTGCTGCCTGTGGAGAGGAAACATCTTGAAAGACCCAGGTAAACTCAGATTCTGTCTTTAGAAGTTATACAATGCAAGATATAAATTATAGACAACCATTAATACATATAATAAATAAAGGTTCAAAAGATGCTCAAAGTGGCACTTTTTAGACCAAAAAGACTTTAAATTGAACAAAATGTCAAATTGGCATCTAGATTGTATTTTCTGTAAGATATGTGACAGAATTATACATACAACCCCAGCACTCAGAAGTCTGAAATAGGATTTTGAGTTTGAGAGCCAGCCTAGGCCATATGTCAAGACCCTGTCTCAACAGACAATTCATATCCAATACTAAACTTTCTGTTGCCACCTGGAAAAAAAAAATAGCTAATTACAAAAATATCTGCATGTATAACTTGGACTTCATAAGTGTATAAACCACTCTTCATAAGAGCCAGAAAGAGAACGTGAAACCAAATAAATGATTCTTCTTTTTCAACTCAGTTTATTGTCTGTACTTTCTATGGAAGTGATTATATATGTACATATATAATAAAATACCTTCATTGCATTATTCAGATCCCCATTTCTTATGTAATTATATTTGTTATTAAACAAATATAATGGTCAAGGAGCGTAGTTCAGGGGTACTGTGTATATAACATACTCAAGACCCTGGGTTCAATATTCAGCACCCCACAACCAAACAAGAAAACCACATGACTCATCCTTCTAAGTTAACTCCTATTTCCCCATTTCCTTTAGAATTTAAAAGGGCATTTAATATTATACTATTAGAATTTATCTGCAAAGTTAGTAATTGGTTTTAAGTTTTTCCCATTTATTTTGTTACTTGATAAGTGAACCCTTCTTCAGAGATGGGAATATACAGGCCAATGGTAGAGCACTTGCCCCAGCATTTGTGGGGCCCTCAGATTATACCAGAACCAAGGGGGTGGGGCAAGAAAACTCCTTCCTTCCGTTCCCCTGTCCATCTATGACCACCTTCCATAGCAAGTGAGAATAATTAGGAATTTTTCAGTTGAAGTGTGGTAGCATTGTTCCAAAGTAAAAATATAAATTAAAAAAAGTTTAAGCCAGGTGGTGGTGGCTTAAACTCTCTGTGAGTTGGAGGCCAGCCTGGTCTACAAAGTGAGTTCCAGGACATCCAGGACTTACACAGAGAAACCCTGTCTAGGAGTGGGATGGGGGTGGGAGAGTTTAACTATCACATTTTGAATATTTTTCTAACCAGAGTAGGAAAAAATTCACGGTTGCAAATAGCGCTCATCTTTCATTATATATTACCTTTATCGGCAAAATGCACTTATCTCCTCATTCGAATCTCACTGTCATTCTTTGAGTTCTAAAACATTCCCTTTTCCCCATAATTTCATTGTTTTCTAGGTTTAGCTTTGTATATTTAACTTTTTTAGTGGTATTTATGGCAAAAAAAAAAAAAAAAGGGTGTTGACTTAGGAACTAGATGACACTCAATAAAAGCCTTGTAGACTGTGCTAACCAATGAACTTCCTGCAATGAGGGTCTGTTAATATGTTTCCCAATACAGTAGCCATTTCCCTCATATGACTCCGGTATTCTTGAAATATGCCCACATTGGAGACTTCAATTAATTTAAATTTACTAGCTATATGTAGATTGTGGCTACTATAGTAACACAATTCCAGGGTTTTCAGACAAGATCCTGTGGTATTAAAGATAATACATAGTTACTTATTGTCAATGTAAGCAATACAGTAAGCTCTATGATGCCCTCACTAGAATTTTCCCAGAAGCAAGACTATCATTCCCATTCAACCTTGAATTTCTAAGGAAAAATTTTTTTTTAACCTGTTAGAGGTAAGTAATAATAAGTGGAGCACAAGAACCTATGGCATCTTTCCTGGCTTTGCTTGTAGTACACAGACTCAACATTTTTGGACACCCCAAAGATACCCCCCCCACCAACTGAACACATCACAGATTTTTCATACAGTGCTTCCTCTAGATATTCTTTTTCCTCTTTGCTACCACCATCCATCATTCAAAGCATCAGAATATAAAAAAAACTAAGGCTTCTGGGTCACAACAAGAGCAGCAACTAAGTCTCTAGCCCTTTTCTCACACTCCCTGCCTAGGCAGCTTAGACTTCTAGCAGCACTCAAATGAATGAAGACCAAAGAAAGTAACCCAGTTTGTGACCCCACACAGTTATGGAGAAATATCTTTGTAAACATAATGGGAAATGTTTACTTCCCTAAGAGTAAATTATACTTAAGAATAGTAAACATAATCTCTTCATTTCAATTAAAAGAGAATGGAAGAAGCCGCTCTCACAGCCCCATGGTCTTATGTTCTTGCCTCTGCCTTGAGCTAGCTCCACGAAGCTCTGCCACCCAAGCCCCAGAACAGTTCACCTTGAAACTCTGTGTTGTCAAGGCCCCTGATGGCCTCCACTGCATCCTCTGCCCGCTCCATGTGTACAAAGGCATAATCTTTCACGATGTCACATTCGATGACTGGGCCATACTCCTCAAACTTGGCCCGAAGCTCTTGGTTGGTACAAGTGGGGCTGATGTTGCCCACATGTAACTTGGTTGAAGCTTTGCTCTTATTCTTGCTGGCTTCCACATTGATGTTCACTCCGTGCAGCTTGTAGTGGTGCAGGTTGCGTATGGCATCCTCAGCGGCCGTCTTGTCCTCTATGTGCACAAAACCATAGTTCTTAATGATGTCACATTCCAGCACCTTCCCGTACTGCTCGAAGAGTGAGCGGATCTCTTGCTCTGTGGCCTCCCGGGGCAGATTTCCAATGAACAGCTTCACCATCCTGACAAGAGCCTGGCAGATTACAAACAAGATTTCAAAAGTCAGGCGTGAAGTGTGACATGGCATAGCGCTGCAGCATTTCTGTTTAATGGCCCAACTATTCATATCTTCCCGACCCTCACATAGTTAATTATTCCTTTTGAGAGAGGAACAGCAGTTTGGTCCTAAGTAGTGTGCAAGCCGTGTGACAATGCCAACAGAAGATCGGGGGTCAGAATGCACAACAAAGTCCAACATCTCCGTGAAGTCAGACACATCTAATCTACAAGGTTGGCTGCTTCAAGGCTTAGCACAGGGAAGAAAACGCCAAGCAGAAAGCAAGAAACACCTGAATGTCCCTAGTTACAAGATTTTGGAGGGAAATCTGTGTGCCTGTCCACAGCGCGGTATCACCTCCCACTATACTCTAAGAACGAGGAGCCCTCTTTCGCCCCACACCTGAACCCCTTTCCTCGGCAGCCCAACCTTCAGCTCCTACATCCCAACAAAGACTCTGCCCGACCCCTGCCCCGCCCCCTCCGGAGACCGGGCCCCGCCTCCTTTCGTTGTCTTCCCGGGACCGTCCTCAGAAGATGAGCAGCCGCGAACCGGGGCGTTCCCGGCCCTCCCGAGGTCCGGCCAGGCCGGCTCTCGGCTCCCCACACACCCACAGCACCTCTCCTACCTCCGGGTGGTGCCGGCGGTGGCGGCGGGTCCCGCGTCAGAGAGAACCCTACAAAATGGCGACGGCCGCTCGAGCCTCGGCGCGACCGAGCGCTTTCTCGCGCGCCAGCTCACGCACGCGCGAGTGCGCGCTGCCCGCCTCCCCTCCCCCTCGTAGGAGCGGGGCGACCAATCCTGCTGCCGCACACAAATGGCCGCCCCCGTGCGGGGGCGGGGTCACGTGGTGACGGCACTGCGGAGAGGAGGTCAGCCCCGGCTAGCCAATCACCACCCTGGGAGAGGGTCGCGGCTTGCGCGTCAAAAGGGCTCAGGAAGCAACCACTGTCTTGGCGAAACCGTAAGCCCGGGGGGAGTCTCTCACCATCACAATGGATCGTGCTATTAGGTCCACTGGCGAGGGAGGCCGATGACAAAGGGTTGTCTCACTGGTCCCGCTAGAAGGGGGTTTTCTCAACCTCTGTGGCGTCTGAGAGCGATGCTTCAGAAGTCTAGGCACCACACCTTAACCTAATCTCTCCCTTATTTGGGTGGGAGGGAGCGAGAACTCCCTTAAGACAACTTAGTTTTCACTGCAATTGTGTTGTTCTTTGGCGAGGAAATTGAGACTGAGAGTCGAGGGGCAGGCAGAAAGATGATCTGTGACAGGTTAGGTCGGAGGAAGGCATTTCTCTATCCAAACTATACTTCGTCATATTTATTCATGAATATACGTGGGCTGGGCTTTCCCTCTCTCGTTGTGTATCTTATCATGAATCCTGAAATGTGGTGAGCACTCCCGAAAAATACGTGGTGCAGAAGTCCAGAGAGATTCCCAGTCTGGGAATGTGAGTGGGACGAGGGGCCCCACGTCCAGTCCAAGCTGCCAGAGGTGCAGGCACTTGTCAGGCTCCTGACTTTCAGATGCGGTGCAAGGGCACCTCCTGGTGGCAGCAGGGTGCTGCCTAGGTGGATTACTCACTCTCTCATTCAACAAAGCGTAGCCATCTAGAGAGATTGATGGGCTGTGTTCATCTCCTAGTAGAGGTACTAGCTAGGATGGTGGTTAGACACCATTCCCCATTGTGTAGTTTCAACACTAGCTCGTCCAATACTATAAAGACCAGTTCCCCAAGTGACTTGGAAACATTTCTTTCACCAAATCCATGTTTCCCAGTCATTTCTGAAGCCATTGTCTTTCCAATTGTAATAAGAGACACACATTTTTTAAATTAAATTTTTTTTATTTTGTTTTTCAAAACAGAGTTTCTCTGTGTACCCTTGGCTGTCCTGAAATTCACTTTGCGATCACACAACTTTGCATTCTGTCCTTCTCAAATTTTCTGAGGTCTCCACAACTAATGCTCTGTTAACAGTTACCATCTTTTTCTAAAATTTTCATTTCACTCCCTTTTTTAATTTTTGAAATGGCCTTACTGCTTAGCCAAAGCTGGCCGAGAACTGGCTGTGTAACCCAGACCAGGCTTGAACTCACAGTCCTCCTACCTCAGCCTCCCAAGTGCTGGGAATTACAGGTTTGTACCATCATTTCTAGTCTCTGGTTTTTCTTTTCTTTTTTTTTTTTAATATTGAAAAAAATTATGTGAGCTGGGTGGTGGTGGCGCATGCCTTTAGTTCCAGCACTCAGGAGGTGGAGGCAGGTAGAGCTCTGTCTGGGTTTGAGGCCAGCCTGGTCTACAGAATTCCAGGACAGCCAGGGCTACACAGACAAATTGAGAAAAAAAAATATATATATATATATAATATATATATTATATATATATATTATATATATATCTGTGTAAATGTATGCTATGTGTGTGCAGGTGCCCACAGAGACCAGAAGAGGGTGGCAGATCCCCTGAAGCTTGAGTTACAGGTACCTGTGAGCTTTACAATGTGAGTGTTGAGAACCATTTTTGGGTCCTCTACAAGAGTAGCAATTGTTTGAACTGCTGAGCCATCTCTCCAGCTCCTGAGACATGCCTTTTCCTGACTTTTTTTGTTTGTTTGTTTTGTTTTTGTTTTTGGTTTTTCGAGACAGGGTTTCTCTGTGTAGTTTTGCGCCTTTCCTTGAACTCTCTGTAGCCCAGGCTGTCCTTGAACTCACGGAGATCCGCCTGGCTCTGCCTCCCAAGTGCTGGGATTAAAGGTATGCACCACCACCACCTGGCTGAGACATGCCTTTTAATGCATGTATTTTTTAAAATTCATTTAAAACTCTTCATTGTGGAAAATTTCAAAACAAAAAAAAAAAAAAAAAAAGAAAAACCCACAAATGTAGACTTGTGATTAATTCCTCTGGACCTTTTGTCTAGCTTCAACATTTCACCCAGACTTTTATACACACAATGTAATTTTGTCTCTCAGTACCTCACAATCTGTTGTTAGTATTCATAGTACTGGGGACCAAGCCCCGGGACCTTCTCTAAACTATACTGCCACCCTATGTGTTATGTCAATATCATCTAATATTTATGTCCAAACTTTCCCTAGATTGTCACAAATCCATTTTATAGTTGGCTTCTTGGCTGGTCCTAAACAAGGTTCACCCATTGTACATTTGTATAAATAATGTAAATGGTATGTTGTGTAGCTAATTATTTCTTGTTTTTCCCCTCTAAGTGTGATGTGTTAAGTCTAATTTCTGTGATATTCTTTGCTTCAGCCATACATTTCACCTTCCCTTTGTTGGAGATAAGCTGCTAAAATTGCCTCAGTTCCTCAGCATCATAAACTAGGTTGTGAATAGCAGTCTGTGTGTGCTCTAGTTATGTGGAGGAGTGTAAATCCAGGGGTAAAATTGCTGAGCTGTTGGGACATAGGGGTATATAAAACTAACATGTCTAAGTGTACCGAGTCCCCAGACAAGCTCTGCCAGCACATCCTCTTACTTGCAGCACACAAGGAGCGCTGTTTTTATCATCTTTATCATGCTCTGACATCCAGTTTCCTAATGTTTGTCAGAGGTGTAAGGTATTATTCCCAACTTGCTTTGATTTGTTTTTGTCTCATGACTAATGATTTTGAAAATACCTTCTTATTCTTAAAGTCTTGGAATTTGCGCTCATATAAATTTCCTGCTCCTCTCTTCTGCCTGTATTTCAGGTTGAGATGTAGGACTTTCCTGCATATTGTAAATTTTTTTTTTTTAAGATTTATTTTATTATGTATACAGTATTTTGCCTGCATGTTTCCTTGCAGGCCAGAAGAGGGCACCAGATCTTATTATGGATGGTTGTGAGCCACCACGTGGTTGCTGGGAATTGAACTCAGAACCTCCGGCAGAGCAGTCAGTGCTCTTAACCACTGAGCCATCTCTCCAGCCTGTAAATATTTCCTATTGGCTTCAAGTATCTTGTCTTTCCACTAATATCTTTGTCTCTGGAAGTAAATTTTTTTTGAGACAGGGTGTGAATCTTTTTTTTACATGTAACCAAATTAATTTTGTTTCATAAAGATTGCTCTTTTATGTTCCCTTTAAGATACCCTCTCCTACTACAAGTCATGTAGATAGTCTGTGTTCTCTTCCATTCCCATTATCTTTCATGTTTAGGTCTTAGGTCCATTTTGAACAGTGCTAGCCAGTAGAGATATAGTTAACTATATTAATAATTCAAAATGAACTGGGAAAATGGTCTGTGGGTGAAACTCAATGGTAAAGCATTTATCTAACATGCACAAGGCCCTGGGTTTCATACCTAGCACCACAATAAATAAATACAAATTTTCAGTAAACATCCAAATACAAAAATTTGAAATCTATTTTAATTTTGACATTTCAACATGTATTCAATATAAAAATTGAGATATTAGAATTCCTCCTAAAGCCCTGGAAATCTGTTATTTCATACCTTCAGCACATCAAAGTTTAGATTTGCCACATTTTGGGTACTCTGTAGTCCCATGTGGCCAGTGGCTACCATGTGGGTCAACACAAGTTAAATCCACCCTTGTCAGTGGTATTCAGTAAAAATGCAAACAAGTTCATTCCTATATAGCTTATCCATTTTTGTTTATTTCTGTTTCCCACCAGTATGCAGGGCCAACACTAACACTGTTTTTGTGCCCTAACCTTTTTTGTATCCCTCGGGCCCCATTCCTCTACCATCTTTCCTCTCTTCCACCAACATTCAAAAGTTTCTCTTCTGAAGACTTGCCCTGTGCTTACCCTCTTCTCCATTCTGCCCACATGGAATCATACCATGAAGTAGCTTCAGTAGCTGCCACATGTGTAGATGATTCTCACCTAATTCTTGTCTTTCCTTTTCATTCACAATGACGGTTCTGCAGGAACACATCAGTTGGTGGCGCTACTTATTACCTTTTAGATAGAGGTCATCATTTCTCCATTAATCTCTCCCACACATACCACATTTGCTTCTAAACTTTTCAATCATTGTTTTTCCCCAAGCCACATAATCTGAGCCCTCCATAAGGACTCTCCCATGTCTAACAGGGCTATTTCATAGCTGTCCTTGAATTATGAGAACAGGTATCTGAGTCCTCTTGATGTCTGCTTTGTCTGTGGAGGGGCTGTTACTGTTGTACTGATGCATGTTTACTGTGGGATATTGAATCCACTTATCTTAAGAGAAAGGATAATTACCCTGTGAATGATCAGCTGTGCCAGATCTGATGTATGGAGCCCACTCTGGGCTATGTAATGCTAGTCCCTAGCCTGCATACACCTGACTCTGCTTGTCATTGTTTTGACTGATAGTCGTCAGTCAGGGCTGCTTAGGGCCCTTGGGCAGTTATGCTGAAGACAGGCTAGTTTTCCTGAGTCAAAGAGACCCAAAACTTCCAACTTTAATACCTCCTTTTTAAATACTGCAAATTTTAAGAAAAAATACTTCTCTCCATTTCTAGAATATATTGTGTATTTATTTACATGCTCAGGATGTACCTTATGTATTCCTAGGGTAACACTGTTCTGGAGTTCAGGAAGTGGGAACCTGCCACTCTTCTGATTCTGTGTGAGCTCCCTTGATGCTATGGAAAGACAGAAAGTAGGGTGCTCATCTTCCACTGCTGGCCGAGCAGCAGCTGAGACTAGGTTGTGGCAACATTCCTCACCACCCCTTACTGAAAACAACTGAGAGACTTGAGAGTGAAGAACCGTGTCCGGGCTATTCAGTGGTAGAGTGTTTGCCTAGCATGCATGAGGCCCAGGGTTCCATCCCCAGCACTGCAAGAAATTAAACAGCTTTTTTAAAGGACAAAGAAAAGTGCACCAAGGAGAGTAATTTCCTGCCTTTTAACACGAATACTATTAATTAACAACAACCCAAACCATAGTGAATGTCTTTGGTCTAAACAGAGGCTTAGCATAGGCCAATCCAGTGAAACAGATCACTATCACGGGGAGACTGAGATAGGGAGGCTCTCAGAATCACATGATTCTTTGAGGCTCAGAAGGTGGGGGTAGAGTGGATATCTGACACACAGGAGACCAGAACCGGAGAGGCTATGGTCAGAAAAGTAACAACACCGAGAGGCAGTGAGAGAAGCTGAGCTGTTTAATCACCTCCTTGGATAGACTCAAGGATGTGGCTACTCCTGAACAACTCACACTTGGGAGCCACCTCGAGTGGCTGGAGGAGCAGCCACCTGAGCCAGAGGGTGACGCAGGCTAGGCAGGGAAGGCTTCAATGCCTCCGACTCCATCCTCTGGTGCTCCTGCCCTCGGGTCCTGCTTCAGCTCTGAGAGGGTCCTGGCTGACCCCAGAGGCAAAGAACTGGATGGTGGATGGCACACCCTAGCTATGGTGGCACAGTGACCCTGAGGCAGGGACAGTGGTTCCCACATAGCCCACATTGAGGGTGACACTCTCTGCACCATGGTGGGGGTGGAGGCATAAGGCTTGGGAAGAGGTGACAAGGTGGGAAGAGTGATAATAGGGGTGCCTGGGTTCCACCACCAGGTGAATTAAATAGAAGAAGAGAAGGTTGTTTGTGGGAACACTCGTTTGTCCCCAGTGACAGTTCCTGGTGATGGGCTGACCTTAGCAGCAGACCCTAGCAGCAGGCAGTTGTCCTGACAAGAGGGCGGTCTCTGTCGATAGTCCCTGGCAGTTTCCTTAATGGAAGGAGGGAGCTAGCCTGGGAGTCATGCCCCCAACTACTTGTTCTTCTTAAAGAAGCTGAATCGTTTTTCTCGCTCTCTTTCTCTGCCGTCCTTGCTGCGAAGCACGATGGAGCCCTCAGGCTGTGACACCGGGGGCATGGTCATGGCCCGAGTCAGACCTCGGCTGGCACTGGGCACCACTGGCTCTTCTGGCTCTCCAGAGGCAGAGGATGCAGTGGCAATGGCTGCATTCACCACTCTCAGCCATGAGCTCATCTCTGCCTGTAAGGGACAGGGAGACATCAGCTTATGCTCAAGGACTTTGACCTGGGGCCGCACGGAGCAGACAGAAGGAAAGTATGATAGAAGTAAGTAGAAAAAAGATCGACGTTTTCGTTTTAGAAGGAGAAAAAAGACCCCTTTAGGATAGGGAGCCTTAGCTGGTCATGGTGGCAAATACCTGTGAACACAGACTCAGGAGGCTGAGCTAGGACTGTTGCAATGAGTTCGAGGCCATTCTGGAATAGGAACCAAGCCTTCAGATGAGACCCTGTCTCATAAAACAAAATGCTGGCAGAGAGAGAAAACAGCAGGACAGGGGAAGGCTCACCTCATCCTTGGCCTGGAATAAGTATTCTTTGCCATCCTGTAAGCTGTTGGGAGAGAAGGCACAGGGCAGAGCTAAGAACCTATATTTGACATGTCAGTGCTTCTGTGAGCTCAGTATTCTCCCATGACTGGACTGACTGGGAGGGCACAGCCCTCAAGGCCAGATCATGTTTACACATTCTTCATAGTTGTAGGGTTTTGCAGACGTGCCAAAGCAGTCTCTTTCTGGTAGAGCGCAGAGGGCAATGTTAAGGTAGGCTCTTGCTGGCAGTGGGCAGGCCCCTGGAAGCCAGGGTGAGCTAGCATCCTGCCATCACAGTTTCTATCCAAGGTAACTTTTCAGCCTGTGTTTTAGCTCCTCCATTCTAGTGTGATTCCAGACCCAGAATTTCCATTCTTTTCCACCTACAAATGTACCCAAGCACCTAGCATAGCAGCTCCATTCATGTGCTCTCTTCGGGTAACTTCCTTCCCTCTGGACCTTGTTCATGGTTCATCTACCTTGCCTTATCTCTGACTCTCCATCCCAACCTGAGAGCAGCCCTGGTTCCTACCCCAGCTTGAAGACATGCTTGCGTTTCCGGTAGTCCAAGGCCACGCTGCCCTGGGCCCTGGCCAGACTGACAGGCACTTCGCCATGGTATGGCACTCCTGCACTAGCTGCCCTGGCATCCTTGTAAAAGCCGAGGCTTCCACGCCGAAGGACACAGTACACATTCTGCCAGGACCTGGGGAGAGATGGCGGGGTCAGAAACCTGGTAGATAGGTAGACTGGTGGCCTTTGTGGGACCTGTAACATGTAAGTTCCACAACACAGTCTTTAGGTCACTTGTGGCCCTCCTCTGAGCCTATGAGAGTCCTGAGTCCCAGTCCTTTCCCAAAGGACAAACTCCTATAAAGTGTTCCCCTGTCTGTCTAGGAAGTTTCCAGGAAACTCTCCTCAGAAGCAGAAACCTGAGAGGCCTGGTACCTGTTGGCGGCTTTCTAGTTGAAGGCCTCCATCTCCTGTTTGCGGCACAGCATCCCTTCCATCTGTTCCTGAGCAGAGAGCTCAGGGCCTCGTGTGGGCAAGGTGGCAACATGGGTTGATTCAGATGATCTGCTCTGGGGCATTGGAGAAGGGGCAGGGCCCCGGGGCCGGGTCTGCCTCTCTCCCTGGGGCCCACTGGACTCGTCCCCTGTGCCAGATCCCTGTGGGGGGGGAAAACAATTTCATTGCTAATAGGTGATATGGATGGTATCTTGCCTTGGAATCAGGAAGCTTATGGCCAAGAGCTGGTCTCCCAGCCCAAGCTTCTGTTGAGCTTCATACCCAGGATCCCTACCCACTTCTTTTGTCCCTTCATCCCCCAGGTACCAAAATCCACCCCTCCAGAGAGACTCACAGGCCCTTCTGGGACACTGCTCTGTTCAAGTCTTTGCTGTTCGAACAGGGGCTGCAAAGAGAAGAAGCTGTGAGGTTGTGGGGGCTGGCAGGGTGGAAAGGAATGTTCATGGACATGGAATTACCTGTGAAGACTCTGTGTCTGTGCAGACCCCGTTAATACTGGGTGCTTGTGTGGATGGTGGCAGTTGTGACTGGGTTCTAGAATGATCAAATGTGACACAGAATGATTATCTGTGGCTTGCTTAGGCTCAGCCTCAACCTCCTGGCCCAGGTGTCTAGCTCTTACCCATCCCAGGCAGTGTCAGGAGCCGTCTGGCCATCTACCAGACTCCCTTCAGGCCGACTGGCCGTGGGCTCTGGAGTAGAGGGCTGTTTGCTCCGTTCCTCTTCCTCCCTTTTTCTCTTCCGCTCCTTCTCCCGCTCTTCCAGCTGTCAAGAAATGGTGAGGTCAGCAAGTCTCATGGTGAGGAGAAAAGCTGAAATGTCTCAGCTCTAGCCCAGTAAAACAGGAAAGACAGAGAAGAGAATCTAAAAGAAGATAGGGCAAGAAGCAGAGTGATCTCAGTAGCACCCAGGCTAACTGACATCTGTGGTCATGTGACAGAAGAGCACTCTCGGCTCACACACAGAGAAGCAGTGCATGGGGAAGAGAAGAAATTCTGGACAGTAACAAGAACAGGCTGGGCTGCAGTGGGGTCGGGTACCTCTGAGGTCCCACAGTCCTCACCGCAGTGAGCTTCTCCAGTGCGCTAAAACGTTCCTCCCAGGCCACTGCTGACTTCTGGAAGGCTTCATGTCGCTTGATGAGGCTCTCTACTTCATCCACGGTGCAACCCAGCTCTGCACTTCGAACTAATGGCTCCTGGCTGCATAGCCAGGCCTCTGCCATCCCTGCATCTCTCCCAAACACAAGCACCTCCAAAACTGCCATGGTTGGGGAGGGGCATAGAGAGATGGAAAATTAGAGTATGTAGTGGCAGGAAATGGTAGCAGTGGCAACTTCAAGTACAGGGACAGAGAAACCATTGTCCCAGAGCACTGTCAGTACCAAGTATAGGATCCTGGAATTCCACACCCAGGGTTCCTGGTATCATGCACTGTGGCCACTACAGATAGGCAATGCCCAGGCCTTTCTCACAAGCCCCCTTCCTCCAGCTGACACTCCCACAGTGGCTCACCAAGCTGCAGCCAGTCCATCTTCTCCTGCCACTTGTCAGCTGTCTCCTGGCGCCTGGACTGTAGCTGGGAGAGCTTCTCTGAGATCTGTGGGGTAGGGGAAAGAGGCATGGCTTAGGAACTAATGGGGCCTTTCCAAGGTCTCTGGAAGCCACTGAAGTACAGCAATGATTTCTAATGTCAAGAGGAGAGGAAATAGTTCTGGGAGGAGAAGTGGGATTTTAGAAATCCCTGGACAGCATTGAGAGGACAGTGAAAATTCTTGCTAAGAAAGAATGACAAGAAGCAGAAGACAGGAAAAATCAAAGCTGGGTGTGGTAGTGCACACCTGTAGCCCAGCACTTGGGAGGGTGCAGCAAGAGAACTGTGGTCAGCCTGAGCTACATGGTGATACCCAGTCTCAAAACAAAACACCCCAAAGAACAACAACCAAACCCCCCCCCCCCCAAAAAAAAAAACCAAAGAAACAAACAAAATGAACAGAAAGAGAAATTTCAGGAATGATCCATGTTCGGTGTGGCTGGCCAGGTTCTTTCCGGGTCTCACCCACCTCCTCAGCAGCATAGTGGCTCCGGGCCAGCAGCTCCTGCCCCATGTCAATGCAGGAGGAGAAGCGGTCTGCTCTGGCCTCTATCTCTGCTTTGATGCCTTGTTGGTTCTTGATGACTAAATCTGCAGAAGATACATCCCTAGGCCAATACAAAGATGGTATTATCAGCGGCTCCAGCCCCACCACAGCCACCAGTAGTATCACATAACCTGTGGAGGATGCCAGGCACTGTGGGTCTCACCGGGGCCGCTCCTGGGCATCCATCTGCAGGTTAATCCCATCCATCCAAAGCATCAACTCCCGGACAGCCTTGAAGAAACGGAACTTATCCGTAGTGTCCAGTAAGAGCTGACGACGGGCAGCGGAACTTCCCTGGAGCTGGGCCCAGGCCTCAGCCACTGCCTGCATGTGACGACCAATTTCCTCGGCCTTGTCTCCAGCATAGGCCTTCTGTAGCCTGTGGCCATCGTCCTGAACCTGCTGGACCTGTGGGAACCCAGTTTTGAGTCAGGCAGAGCTGGGAGACAGAGGAGCTGAAGGCACTCTCATTCCTGCACTGCTTTCTACCTCCTGTTTGTTTCACCAGCCAAAGACGTGGTAGAAGAACCAAGGTTCAGAGCTCTACCTACCACCCTCTGTCCTATTGGACTTCACCTGGGGCCCAAGCTACCCCAGGGGATAGGGTTCTGAAATCAAGTTGAGCTATCCTATCCAGGGTATAAGGGACATTGAAAAATCACTAGAAGAAGAGGTGCAGCCTGCAGAGTAGACTTAGGTTGAGGGCTGACTGGTCATATGGGGTTGAAGGAATGATCTGTGTTAATTTCGTAAATCCAGAAGTCTGGCCTGAGTGGCATCAACAGGTGGGTTTGGGCATAGCATGAAGGATTTTGCAGTCATTGGAACCACTGGAAAAAGTCATGGGTCTTTACTACAACTGTGAACTTAGCCAGCGAGATGCCTCAATGACTTTAAGCACTTGCCCAAGCCTGATTATTGGAACCTAAAGTACAAGGATAGAACCAAAGCTGTCCCCTGACCTCCATACATACACTGAAGTATGTGTGCTGATGCACGTGCGTGCACATACATATTATACAACAAGCCTGAATATGGTAGCTGATATCCATTCCTCGAGTGAGTTTAACCTTATTTTCAAATGCCCCTCCATGGTTGCCAGCCTCCCAGCCTCTCCAAAGCACACGGACCTCCCTCCTCCCATTTCCCACCAAACAGTTTCCTCTTAGCCTTCCCTTCCCCACCTGTCCAGCTAGGGTCAGACCTGGGTGCTGAGGGCTTGGATGTCATGCTCATAGGCACAGTGCCGGCGCTGCAGGGCCTCAGCAGCATTGAGGTCACGGCCAGTCCCATCTGGAAGCTGCTGTTGCTTGTGCTGTACCCGTGCCAGGGCTTGACGGGCCCCATGCAGGAAACGCTGCAGCTCATAAGCAGCAGCCAGCACCTGACCTCTTGTGTCCAGCAGCTCCAGCAAGTCAGCCCAGGCCTCGTTGAGACTGTCCTTCCACTCAGCCACAGTGGCCCGTGCAGCATGGCCCCCAGAAATGAGCCCATTGGCCAGTGCATTGGCACTGTCTACACGCTCCTGGCCAATGGTGCTGGTGTCCCGGGAGAACTCTCGGAATTTGTCCCGGAGCATCTGAGGGAGGAAACATTTGTAGAGACAGGGATGAGACCTAGTGTGTGAGGTCACTGCCTCGTGGAGCAGTCACTTCTCTCCCCAAAACTGAGAACCCACTGTTCCTAAAGGCACCTAGAGGCACTTCAAACATTTAGCCCTTAACAAGGATGCCCTAACTATGGTCTAGATTTCTGTACCAGAGGGCCCAAACCTCTAACCACAGCAAAGAATCTGAAGTTCACCCTGTTTTGTTGAGGTCTGTTGCAAAGAGTAGCAATTTCATTTTTGTCCTCCCCTATGGTCACCCCCATACCCTTCTTTCTGCACAATAGTCCAAGTTTTATAACTCAAACCCCATAAGAACAGTGCCTTCTCTGTCTGGCTCAATGTCCCCACCCTCAGCACTCTGCCTGGACCAAGGCTTTGGTCTCCCTGTGGGCCCTGATGCTTCCTGGTGCCGATCTGTGTGGCACTCACAGTCACATGCTCATAGTCCTGGCCCAGCTCATGGGAGGCCGCCACCACTTCGCGCTCCTGTATCCACTGTTCCAGGTCATCCAGCTCTCTGCGGAGCTGGCACAGCCGGAGGTGCTCCTGCAGGCGCTCCCGCCGCTCTCCCGCCAGCTCCTTCAGGCTGGCGTACAACTTGTCCACCTGGGCTTGGCGGATTGTTAGCCTTGTGCTGCAGGGGTAGAGAGAAGGGCTTGTTCCATGGAGCTTTGTCTCTTATGTCCCTAACTGCTTTCCAAGTCCTTTGCTTCTCACAACTTTCTAGTCTGTTCTGTATGCACATGGTTCAAAGACGCCACAATTCCTATACTTTTCCAGAACCAGCTCTCCTCCTCTCCTCCAGAGTTTAGGCCCTTTGATACTCACACACTCACCTCTCTGGGTGTTCATGGTCAATCATATCTTGGCTGCTAGCTGCTAGTTGTTTGATGGTCTGAGCATAGTCGGCAAGGGCTTGTTCCAATACCTGATGCTTCTTCACTTCTGCCTGGGCACTCAGTTCGTCCTGGGAGAGGGAAAAGGAGACATCAGACAGCAGGGTCCTGGGCAGGAAGAATTGGCCAAACAAACCACCATTGCTCTGGTTCTCACCTTGGCTTTCTCCTGTCCCATCATGTGTAACTCCTGCTCACCCATCCAAGCCTCGGCCTCTGCAGCATCACGATAGAATTGCTGGGCTCGAAGGGCTTCTTCTAGTCGCTTACCCCGAAGCTCTAGCTCATGGCTCAGGCGTTTCCACATTTCCTGGAGCTCAGCCAGCTCTGGACCTGCTGCTGCTGCTCCCAAAGCACGCTGCCTCTCTTTGAGGTCTGCAATCCGGGGCTCATGGCCCTGGATCTCCTTCTGCAGGGTCTGTCCCAGCCAGAAAATACACTGAAAAGCTTGCAAAAAGAACCCCCAAGCCTCTATCCCTTTAGACCTCCTCTACTTGGAGCCCTCCCTATATTCTTTTACTTCCTGAATCCTCTTGCAGACTCTTTCCAGGTTAGGGACAGAATGTGATATCCCTTCAATCCTCATGCTTTCCTACCAACAGAGGCCACACTCCTGAGCTAGGGAAAGTTAAATTGCCAGGTCTAGTGCTACATAGCAACAAGATGATGTCATAGGAGAAAACAAAGGAGATGGACATGGCAGCATACATACATCTTTAATCTCAGCAGACAAAAGGGGATCTCTATGAGTTCAAGGCCAGCCAAGGATACATAGTAAGGCCTTGTCTTAAAACAATAGCACCTATCCTTCACCTCCCATCATCACCCCCAAAAAGGAGAAAACAAAGCTCTGAAGAGGCTCTTGGGAACTTTGTTTTCACCCTTGCCCTCTGCCTCACCTGGTTTTTCTTCATGAGAAGCTGGACGCTGGGCAAGTCCTTGCCATGTTCCATAGAGCTGGCCATGGGTAGCCGCTCAGTCACCCACAACTGGAGAGGAAGAAAAAGTTAATAGAGGTGCAAAGAGGAGCTACCTACAGTTACAGCTGTTTATGTTGGGAGCAGCCATCTCATTCTAGTGTAGAGGGCCTTGCAGAACATCCATGAACATCCTTAGAGGGAACACTCTCAACATAGAAGAGGGAACGGAGCACTGTGGGCATCTCCCCAGTGCCCAGAAAGAGGCTAGAGAGCTACATGGCTGGGAGCAGCTTGCTGTTCCATGCCCAGCCTGGTTACTCACTATCTCATCCTCCACATCCCGGTGGAACTGATGCTGCTCTCGGGAGGCTTGCAAGCGCCGGCAGCGTTCCTCCATGGGTTGGCACAGGGCCCTGAACTTCTCCTCCACAGCCCTTGAGGTCCTTTCTACCTCCCCTGCACTCTGGTCTTCCTGGGCCAGGGCCTTTGCCTGGGCCTGGATCGCCTCCACCTCCTTCTCTCTCACAGCCATCTCTCGTTCCAGCATCTACAAACACAGAGGAGAAAAGATGTCAGTGCCACATTTCCACCTTCACGCTCAGAAGACATCTATCAAGCCAGTCATGATTCTTGATCACCGGGGAGAATAACCTCTTTCGGTCTGGATAGGTCAGTCCCAAACTTACACACACACACACACACACACACACACACACACACACACACACACACGAATTCCAGGACTGTGTGACAACTATGCATATTATGAATTCATTGTCAAATCCACTTCTGCCTTACTTTCAGATGCTGAAACTAGACCAAGTGCATTTTCTTTTCTTGCCAACTGGTACAATGCCAGCCTTGTCAGGAGAGGGCGCTAAAGGCATAGCACAATGCACTGGAGGAAACATGCTTTGCTTTTTCCTTGGACTTGAAGACTGCCCACAGAGAACAAGGGGTCTAGTAGCTCTTTCCCCTCCGGGGCCAGGGCTCTACACTCACTATTCCAGGATTCTTAGGGTCAGGGAATCAGCAAATATAGCCTACTTAGTAAATAAAGTGTATTGGAGCTGAGCTCCATTCCTCTTATGTATTGTGTGTATGTTTTTTTTTTCTCTTACATGATAAAGACAAAGTTGAATTGCTATGATAGAGATCATATGACCTACAAAATGCAAAATATTTATCATTTGGCTCCATTGAAAATGTTTGTTTGTTGTTGTGGTGATGGTGGTGGTTTTTACATTTTATTTATTTGTGGGTGTATAGGGGCAGTTTCTCTCCTTCTACCCTGTAGGTTCTAGGGATGGAACTCAAATAGTCAGGCTTGGTGATAAGCATTTTTATCCACAGAGCCATTGCTGGCCCTGCTGTCTCTTTACAGAGAAAAGCTCTAAGCCGGGCGGTGGTGGCACACGCCTTTAATCCCAGCACTCGGGAGGCAGAGGCAGGTGGATCTCTGTGAGTTCGAGGCCAGCCTGGTCTACAAAGTGAGTTCCAGGAAAGGCGCAAAACTACACAGAGAAACCCTGTCTCGAAAAATCAAAAAAACAAAAACAAAAACAAAAACAAAAACAAAACAGAGAAAAGGTCTTCCGACACTTGCTGTAGAATTCTGTTTAAGACTTGCTACTTCCTCCAAGACTTAGGCTGAAATCTGGTCCTCAAGATAAACTGGTGACAGACAGTAGAGGGGAGGCTTTAAGAGGTGAGTAGGCCATTAAAGAGATTTATGTAGTTCCCATGGGACTGGATTAGTTACAAGAGCAGGTTGTAAAGTGAGGCTGCCTCTTGTGTTTCGTCTCTTTCGCACGAGCTAATTTCCATCATGTTCACCTGTCATCTTACAACACAGTACAAGACTCTCTTCAGAAACTGAGCAGATACTGGTGCTATGCCCTTGAACCTCAAGAACTGCAAGCCAGAATCAACTTCAAAAAATAAGTCACCCAGGCTCAGGTATTTTATTGTAGCAACAGAAAACAGACTGAGATAACACCTTTAGTACTAACACCTTTTCCTAATGAATACCTTTGTTAAACTAAAGTTTCCCTGTCTAAGGTATTGATGTGACCTGTCTCCTGACTGCCCTGACTGACACACAGCCCTGTACACTGTAATGCAGTCTTTAGTTGAAATCACTGTTAGAAATGCTAAAAGATGTCATCTACCAGGCCTCCCTCTTGAATTTCAAGAGCTAGGCACCCTCTTCCATTCTCCTGCTGTTCACTCTCCCCAAAGGTCCCCAGCATACCTGTTGCTTCTTTAGTAGAATGTTGACGCTGGTGAGGTCCTTGCCATAGTCATCTGAGTGCAGCTGGGCCTGCAGGCTCTCCAGCCAGCTTTCCAGAGCAGAACAGCTTTGGGCAAATAGCTCTGCCCGGTTGGCATCAAAAAGGCTTCGGGCCTTGGCTTGGGTGGTGGTCTCCAGTTCATCCCAGCGCCTGTGCAGGTCTCCCAGCTTCTCTGACACTAGGATTTTGAGTTCTGGCTTTTCAAGAGTCAGCTCCCGCCCTTCCTGAGTGACAAGACAAAGGAGTCTAAGTGCTAGGGTTAGGACACCACTGAATGTTGCAGGTTGATCACAGGATAGGGATCTCAACAGTAGAGAACGGAGTGTATCAAGGAGTTCTAATTTCTCGTGGGAGGCGGGCTTATTAGTAGACTCTTCCTAGAGGTTTCTAAAGCCTTCTGGACTTCCCTTCTTTGTTGATCATACTCCACTCCTTTTTCAAGATCCAACTTGACTCTCACTTAGGAAGCCATTGTGAGCTGGGCCTGGAATTTTGGCACTTGGGAGGCTGAGACAGGAAGGTTGCTGTGAATTTAATGCCAGCCTGGTCTATACAGCACGATCCTGTCTAAAAAGAATTCTTAAAAGCCACTTGCAGTCTTTTCCTATTTTGGGTTCCCTACTGCTCATAGCTTCTAGTGTTCCGCTGCACGTGGACTTCAATTATCTGTTGTCATTTCATGTTTCTTAGCTCCTGTCTTCTCACTTGCACTACAGCAAACAAATCTCACATGGTCTCCCCATGTTTAGTCCTTCAGCTTGAAGACTTTGTTCCTGTGGAAGTACAGGAAGCATGTGTGGTGAATGAAGTGCCCTCACCAATGGCAGACTGGGAGGTGACTAATCAGCAACCTCACGCTGTGGTGGGATAATGCTGCTTCAGGGTCTGTGTTGTCTCCCAGGATGCCCCAGTAGCTCTGAGCCCCAACAACCTGGTGGCAAGCCTGCCACGATGATACTCTCCTCTCCTTCTCTCCCTCCCTTCCTTTGTGGTACGGGGGATAGAACCTGGGCCTCACACATGCCATGTACATGTTCTACTACTGAGGTACATGTCTACCCCAACATATCCTGTCTAGACTACTCTTCTGTCTCATCTTTCCACTCCCCTCCGGGTGTTTTGTGGCACCACCTCTCCTGAAGTTGGGCTGCTCCACAACTCTGGTTTCAGGGTCTGCTTCTGAGACCATAAAGTCAGATGCTTTCAGGTGTTTTATGTGGCTGTCGGGATGAAGAGGGTCAAAGGGCAGCTTGGCTTGTGTGGCTTCACAGCCTTTAGTACAGGCCTTGCATAGTGATCCAAGCTTGTCCTGACCTTGCCCAGGACACTTGTCCACCTTTGCTTCCAGGAGCCTTGTCATACATTCCGTGCTCCTGACAGACTCACTTCCTCCTCGTTCCTCCTCACACTTCTGGGTTTCAGCTTATCATTCACTCTACCTAGAACCCAATACTGCTGCTTGCTCACGATTCTCCTTACCTTCCACAGACGCCCGATGCATTCCCACTCGTCTCTATTCAGCTTAGTGTCAGGGCGTTAATGGACTCTACCTTTTGGCACCCACTGTATTCTACTCTGGATCTTTCCACTCATTTTTGCAATCCTGGGCATTGAACTAAGGACCTTGTACATGCTAGGCAAAGCCTTTCATTTTGAGAGAGAGAGAGTCTCACTAAGTTGTCCAGGATGGCTTTGAACTTGGGATCCTCCCATCTCAGCTTCCCAAGTAGCTTAGTATTACAGGCCCGTGTCAGCAGACTAGCCTTCTGCTCTGGATCTGATTAGTTGTCTTCATATGTCTCACATCCTGGCTGCAGTGCTTTCCCTTGAAGTCTGAACTAGTGGTAGCATCACCTCCTTTCCCTCTCAGTGCTTGCATATGGTGCTAAGTGTGTGTCTGCTGAACAAATGCAAACATTGCTCTCCTCTCCCCAGTTACTATGCTCCTGAGGGAGGAAAAATGTCTTTTGATATGCCATGTACCACCTAGCAACATGCTAGTTCACATTATCATCTCTAGGAATATTTGCTGAGTAGAAGTAAATATTCACTTATCCTCAGCAATTGAGGCAGAGCTGTGTGGGAGACAAAGTCCTAGGAATGATAAGATTCAAAAACAAGGGTTGTCAAACCATGGCAGATGGACAAAATCTGCCCCCTTGCCTGTTTTGATAGTTTTATTGGAGGACAGCCATGCCCATTAGCTTCTATGACTGCTTTTGTGCCGTGACAGCAGATAGAAGGAGCTATATACAAGCTGTATGGCCTACAAAGCCTGAAGTATTTCCTGTCAGCCCTTTATAGATGTTTGCAGACAACACAGCAGAAGAGGCTCTGGTGCTGCAGATCCAGAAACAGTTATGACACTGAACCCAAGCCACAATTTGGCTAATATACTGTATTTTCTTGAAGTTCTGTCTAACAGAACTTCATCCCCAAGCCCTAACTTTCCATTTTATCAATGTTGGTCTCTGGAAAGAACTATGTTCTGGGGTTAGGCCCCCTTGGCCTATAATGTGTCCAGGGTATGTCCAGAAGCAGCTTCAGAGGCTCATCATTTTGCGGCTCTGGCCACACTAGTTACCTTGTCCACTTTGTCCAGCCAGTCCTTGTTGGCTGCCAGCTCAGCCATGAATGCCTGGTGCTTCTGCCACTTGGTGTGCAGGTTTCGGGCCTCATCATAGGACACATCCTGAGCTGTCAGCATCTTCTCATCAATCCAGAGTTTCAGCTGGTGCAAACATAAAGCAGGAATGAAGGAGATCTTTTAGAGGGAAGAAGTGGTGGGGGCAGATGAGCCAGGAGATGCAGAAGACTCCACAGGAAGCCACGAAGGGTGTGTGTGTGTGTGTGTGTGTGTGTGTGTGTGTGTGTGTGTGTGTAAGAGATGTATAGCTAGGAAATGCTACAGGATACCAGGGAACTGAGAGTCTCACCTCTTGACAGTCTTGCAAGAAGTGCTGCTGCTCTCGGTTGTCCCGAAGGCGGCCCAAAAGCTGCTGCACTGCCTCCTGATTCTTTCTGTGTCTGCAATGACAACCCAGGATGAAACCATGACCCTTAACTCACCTGGAAGACCCAGTCTTCCTCTTATGTGAATAATGTCCCCCAGGGGTCCCGAAAGACACCCAAGGAATTTGATTTCTAGGCCTGCCATCCTAGTAGGCTCCAATTTGTCTCAATGTGGCAAGACCCTCGTGGATCATCTGCCTCCAACTCCCTTCGTCTGTCAGTTCACCTGGACACAGATGAACTCAGTTCTCTGGTGTATCAAGCTTTAGACCACCCTCTTTTCCACTATTTTCCCCCAAGTTCCTCATTTGTCCACCATCCTCATCACACCTCTTCTCAATGGAATCTGCCTTCTCTTGAATCTTCTCAGCATGGATGTTGCCTTTGGACACCAGCTGGCGTCCAGCCTCCAGGAGTCCACGGATGCGCTCTCCATTGGCGTCCATGGTGCTCATGAAGTCTTCCAGCTTTTTAATGGCCACATCTGCAGCCTGGAGTGTCCCTGGCATCTCCGTGTGAGACAAAACATATTCCTGTGTGGAACAGACGGTAGCAAGCTCACTTCCCATAGCATGTAGATTCTACTCCTCTGAGAAGACTTGCCCAGAGGTACACAGGGACCATCCTGGTGAGGAACAAAGTGGCCCAGATGGCTCTGTAGACAGGGCCGAGGCCACTAATGTGGGCATCTTACAATGTTCCAAGGCTAACTGGGCTGGAAGACTTTTACCAGTCCAAATCTCATTCCATCTTATTTGTAACTATTGATTTATTTAATAGTTACAGGACTAGCCAGGCTTTTCATTTCCTTTAAAGTCAGTTTGGTTATGTTTACATTTAAATTTTGTTAGAATTTTTATATTCTAGTAACACAGCATTTCTCAACCTGTGTGTTGTGACCCTTTGTGGGTCACATATAGATATCTTGCATATCAGATATTTACATTATGATTCCTAACAGTAGCAAAATTACAGCTATGAAGTAACAATGAAATAATTTTATGGTGGGGGGTCATGACAATATGAGGAACTGTATCAAAGGGTTCCAGAATTAGGAAGGTTAAGAACATATTTCTAGGGGCTGGAGAGATGGCTCAGTGGTTAAGAGCACTGACTGCTCTTCCAGAGGTCCTGAGTTCAATTCCCAGCAACCACATGGTGGCTCACAACCACCTGTAATGAGATCTGGTGCTATCTTCTAGCTGACAGGGACACATGCAGGCAGAATGCTATATACATATATATATTAAATAAATCTTAAAAAACCCTATTTCTAATATGTACTTCCTGCCTATATTGCTTGCTCAACCACGCCAACCACTTGTACTGCCTACCCCTTCTGCCACTTTCTTTTGTCCTTCCCCTGATCCCTATTTTCCTCTTCTTCCTAATTGGGACTGTGTTCCCTGGGCTCTTACCTGGCTGCTGAGCACACCCTCAGCCTGGCGAGCATCTCTCAAAAACCCCTGGAAGCCATGGGCCTGAGCCAAGCGGCCTTGCCGACTCTCCCACATGCGGCCCAGCTCCTCCCAGCCGGTTCCAAGGGCTTCCAGCCTCTGCCTGAGGAAGAGGCATTGGGGATCAGCCTGGTCTCTGGTCACCTCCTCGCCCAAGGTCCTGAGGCGGCTGTACTCGCTCTGGGCTCGCTCCACCTCTCCCCGCAGGGCTGCATGCTGGGCTAAGAGGGCTTCTGCCTCGGGCAGGGTAGCTGGCCCTTCTTCAGAGGCTACAGCAGTCTGAGTGCGGCCTAGCCAGGCCTGGAAATCATCCAAGCTGCGCAGGAAGTCCTGCAGCCTCCGAGCCTCACCCAGGGACTCTTCTCTGCGCCGCATGGTGGCCCGAAGATCCTCCCAGCCAGCTTGTACCTCTCCAAGCCGGGTGTTGATGGCAGGGGCTTGGGCTGGGTGACCAGCAGCCAAGGCATTTGCCTCTTGGGTCAGCTCACCGACCCGGGCAGAGATGGCTTCCAGATCTCTCTCAGTGCCTGCCAGTTTCCGCTGCAGGGCTAGCACACCAGCCAGATCATTACCCAGGCCTTGGGTGGACTCAATGACCTTGGTCTTCTCTCTCATCCAGGCCTGGGTCTCTGTGCACTCTAGGTGGTAATTCTGGATGCTCAGGGCTGATGTCAGAGCTGCCTTCTTGCCATCTGCCAGCGACCGAAACTGTTGCCACCTGTGAGTAGGGAAAGGTCTACATGTGGAAGGGGCTTAGCATCCTTGCCCTGCCCAGGTGCCTGGAGACCTCTTCCTACTGCTCTGTGCACACACCTCCTCTTTCCACTGTCAGAAGGGTTACTTACTCCTGCCCTTTGCTTCCTTTTCTCTGGACTGCCTTGACCTCTTCTATTTCTTTCTTTCTTTCTTTCTTTCTTTCTTTCTTTCTTTCTTTCTTTCTTTCTTTCTTTCTTTCTTTCTTTCTCTCTCTTTCTTTCTCTCTCTCTCTCTCTCTCTCTCTCTCTTTCTTCCTTTCTTTTTCTTCCTTCCTTTCTTCCTTCCTTCCTTCCTTCCTTCCTTTCAGATTTATCTATTTATTACACATACAGTGTTCTGTCTACATGCCAGAAGAGGGCATCAGATCTCATTATAGATGGTTGTGAGCCACCATGTAGTTGCTGGGGATTGAACTGGGGACCTCTGGAAGAACAGCCAGTGCTCTTAACCTCTGAGCCACCTCTCCAGCCCCCTCTTCTATTTCTTTTATGACTTCTCTTCTCTCAACGTATTCCAATTAGCTTTCTTTCTTCATTTTCAGCCACCCTTCCAGGCCCTACCACATTTTTCTTCCAACTGCCATCTGCACTGCCTAGTAAGTAAATTTGCTTTTTTTTTTCCTTTTTTCTTTTTAATATTATTCTTTGGGGCTGCCTCCCCACCTCAAGCCCACCTGTGGTTGAGCTGCTGCTGGGTGCCGATGATGCGGTCCTTGCCTGGTGGATTAGCCTTCAGCAACTGCTCAGCAATGTCATTTACAGCAGTAACCCGTGCAGCCAGGGCATTCATTTCAGGCTCCAAAGTCTCAAACCTGAGTCAAGGGAAGAGTAGGTTCTGAATGATATGAGGCAGCAAGGTACCCAGGTAGTTTCCCTTAGATGCCCACAGAAACACTGTCCCTTAAATGTTGTGGAATAATCTTTTTGTACACTGTGAAGATGTGTCACTCTGGTTGGTTTAATAAAAAGCTGAACAGCCAATAGCTAGGCAGGATTTCTAGGCACAGAGGACCCAGGGAAGAAGGGCAGAGACTCCAGGAGACAGAGAGGAAGCAGGATGGGGAGTAAAGGTGACCGAGCCACATAAAGAAGTTATAAGAACTAGTTAGGAACCAGCCTCAGCCAAGGCCGAGCTTTTACAATTAATAATAAGTCTGTGTCATGATTTAGGAGCTGGCTGTGGGACAGAGAAAGACTGGTTACACTTAAACATGAGGCTTCTGCCCCAGCACTGCTGTGCCTCTGAGCCTACAAGGTCCACAGACCTGCAGGTCAGAGCCCCCAACTCCCTCAAAACAAGGAGAAAAACTAACCACTGTAGGGTTGCTCAAAAACATAGTGAAGGTCCAAAGTCAGGAATACCTGTACAGCAAGTCAAACTCAACAACTTAGTGTTCCTCTTGGGGCTCTTACCCCCTAACCACCTACCCATGCCACATCCTGCTACTATGAGCTAAAAAGAACCAAAAACAAATGTCTAAGCATAAAGATGTGAACTCTAATGTCTTTGGGGGCAAGGAACACCTGACGTTTCTGTAAAAGGCTAGGTGAGTAAATACTTTTGCTCTGTGAGTCACAGTCTGAGCCACAGTCCTCAACTCTTACTAGGTGGGATGAACATAGCCATAAATGAGAGGGCAGGCTCTGCTCCAATAAAACTTTTATTTACAAAACAAAACAACTCAGGCAGCAGGCTGGATTTAGCCCAAGGGTTATAGTTTGTCAAGCCCACACTGTAATAGGAGCTCTTAAAAACTTAAAAACATTTACTTACATTTCAAAACTGCCAGGAAATTTGATTATGGATTGACAGTGGGTGGTATCTAAGAGTTTCTAATTTTGTTTTATGTGATAATGGTATTGAAGTTCAATAAAAATGTCCTTTCGGTTGTTCATGGTAGCATATGCCTTTAATCCAGCACTAAGGAGATAGAGGAAGGCAAATCTCTGTGATTTCAAGGGCATTCTGGCTTATATTGCAAATTTCAGGACAGCCAGGGCTACATAGTGAGAATCTTTCTCAAAAAAAAGAAAGACAGAAAAAAGGGGGGTAAAAGATGCTCTTTCTAAATGAATGTAAGGTTTACTGCTCTTTGGATACAACTCAGGTTGTTTGTGTGTGTGTATGTGTGTGTGTGTGTGTGTGTGTGTGTGTGTGTGTGTGTGTGTATATGCACCAGCAGAAACAAGATAAGGTGGTGTCAGATCCCCTGGAACTGGATTCACAGGCAATTGTGAAACACCTGACGTGAATGCAGGGAAGCAAACTCAGAAAAAGCATTGCTCCTAACCACTGAGCCATCATTCCAGCCCAGCTATTTTGTGGTTTCTGTTTTTTTTGTTTTTGTTTTTTTTTTTTTTTGTTTTGTTTTGTTTTGTTTTTCGAGACAGGGTTTCTCTGTGTAGCTTTGCGCTTTTCCTGGATCTCGCTCTGTATACCAGGCTGGCCTCGAACTCACAAAGATCTGCCTTCCTCTGCCTCCCAAGTGCTGGGATTAAAGGCGTGCGCCACCACCGCCCGGCTTATTTTGTGTTTTAACTTGTTCTTTTAAGTCAGGGTCTTACAATGTAGCCCAGGCTGCCCTGGAACTTGCTACACAGCTCACACTAGTCTCAGACTTATAGAGGCTGTCATAATTTCTTGGATGCTGGCATCACAGGCATACTCCATATCTAGCTTCCAATTGCACTATTTTAAGTCCACACATAATTTAAAAGTATTATTATTATATATAAGGATACTTCCTCATCTTTCTTAAAGGGGCTATCTTGAGGAATCATATTAGAGACTTGTCTTTTAAAAGGGAAATAATCAAAAAGAGCAACGGATTGACAATAATGAAATCTGGGAGACGGACACACAAGGGTTTGTTGTGACATGTTCTCTACTTCTGAGTATGGTTGGGCGTGGTGGCACATGTTTGTAATCACAGCACTCAGGAAGCCAAGACAGGAGGATTGTTGCATGTTCACCGAGCCTGGGCTCTAGAGCAAGACCTTGTCTCAATATATTAAAAACAAGGACAGGAGAGATGGCTCATTGTTTAAGAGCAATGGTTGCTCTTGCAGAGGACATGGGTTTGGTTCCCAGTACGCACACGGTGGCTCATGTAACCATCAGTAACTCCAGTTTCAGAGGATACATTGAGAGAAGTCATAAAAGGAGTAGAAGAGGCCAGGGCAGTCCAGAGAGGCTGGGGACTATCAGAAAGGAAGCAAAGAGCAGGGGTGAGGAACTCTCGTTTCAGGACTTCTGACCTCTGCAGGCACCAGACACACAGGTGGTGCACAGATAGACATACAGGCAAAACACTCAAGCACATAGGACACATCTTTAAAAATACATATACTAAAACTAAAAAAGAAACAACAACAGAACCCTATAAAAAGATGGTAGTTATGGTGTTGCTGGCAGTTTATAGTGGTCCTTACACCCCTGTACCAGGCCCCCAGCTCACAGGTGATGCCTCTCGAGGAAAATGGCAGGCCTTACCTCTGCTGTACCACCTCCAGGTCCTCCAGGCGCTCAGGTAGGGCCAGCCCATTGAGCCACTGCTCCTTCTCCTCTATCCAGAGCCCACAGGCCCCGGCCTCGCTGAGCATGGTATAGAATGCCAGGGCTGCCTCCAAGGCTCGTGCACGCTCACCCGCCCGGGCCTGCAGCTCCTCATAGTGCTGCTCCAGAGTGGGCACCCTGCCCTGAACTTCAGGTGTATGGCTCAGTGCAGGTGGCAGGGCTGCAGCCTGTTCCCTCAAGGCATCCAGTGTGGGCCGGTGGGCTCGGATCTCCTCCTCAAGGGCCCGGTGCTGCCTGGCCAGGGCCTGTGTGGAGAACTCATCATGCCCTACCTCAGGGCTGGATACCAGGCGTAGTGCATCCACCAACCAGGCATCCATGTCATTTGCATCTGCCTGGAACTGGTAGAGGCTAGCAGCCTGTGCTAGCCGCTGGGCTCGCTCCTCAGCCAGAGCCTCCAGCCGCTCCCATTGGGCCTGGAGCTCTGCTGCACGGGTTGAGGCTTGGTTGGCTCCAGGGTGGCCCTCAGCAACCAACTGCTGGCCTTGTTCCAGGGTGAGCTTCAGGGGCCCCAGACGGCCACTCATCTCACCCCGAAGGGCTGTGTGCTTGTTGAGCAGGCGGAGGACACCGGTCAGGTCCCGGCCTGTCTCAGCTGAGGCCAGGAGGTGCTGCTGCTCCCGCACCCAGGCCTCAGCCTCACCCACTTCCCAGAGGAACCTCCAGAGACGACGTGACTCTTCCAGACGGGCCCTTCGAGTTGCTGCCAACTCACACAGGGCCTCATAGCTCTGCTCCAGAGTGGCCACCCTCTCTGACACCAGCTGTGGGTCACATGGTCTATACTCTGAAAAGAAAAAAAGCAAGCCAGAGGTCCAGAGCTTCCGTTGCTCCCTAGCCACCCTTGTCATAAATCACCAGAGCTTACTCTGGTAGGTCTCCCTTTGGGATCTAGCTCCCACCATTACCTGCCCATCAGTGACCCTGCCCCCACGTTTTCCCAAGTGACAAGCCTATTCCTTGTTTCCCAGTCCTTCCATAGCCAGCTCCCCCTCCCCCCGTTTTCACCTTTCCCTGGGTCACAGAAGCGCAGGGCGGAGGCGCTGACTGCTCGCACCCTCTCAGCCTGCACTGCGATGTCGGCTTCCACCAGCTCGTGTAGCTGCAGCAAGTCCTCCACTCCAGCCAGGTGCTTGCCCAGGTCCTGAGACTGCAGCCGGCCCTGCCAGACACACACGGCATGCCAGTGCCCGTCTGAGAACTGTCTAGCACCCTACCACGGCATGCCAAGCTCACTGCATCTCCCTTCCACCCTCTTTAGATAGCTCCATGTTACACGCGGGTGAGCATACCTGCTCACTCTCACACACAGGGACACCCGAGTTCGGTTCCCACACTTGGTTCTTTAGCCTCAATTGCCCTCTCATGGAACAGTTTTCTTATTAAATCCTGCTCTGGAATTTTTATTGTGAGTCATCTCAGCTCCAGAATCGTAAATACCCACTAGTGTCACGGTTCTGTGCCAGCAGCCTTCGGTATCTTCTCCCAGACCCACCCTCAAGCACACCTCTTGCCTAGAAGATGTCAGCCTGTTTCTCTGCTTCCACTCTTGCAGCCCACAGACCTTCTGCACATAGTAGCCCAAAGGATTTTTAAAATCCGAGGTGGAATCACACCTCTTCCTTTCTTTGAAATCCTTTAACTATTCTGTTTGAATAAAATCCAGATTCCTTGACCAAGCCTGGGGGGGCTCTAAAGGAGTCAGCCATAGCCCCCTTTATAGCCACTGGTCTACCTTTGCAATCCCCATGTGCCCCACTTGCACAGCCCAGAGCTGTAGCCCCGTTATCCCTTCTGACCAGAACCTGCTCTGTCAAGAGTGCTCTGGGCTGGCTCCTTGCCTCAGTTCAAATGTCCTTCTCTTAGAAAGGCGCTTGCTCCAGTGCCCCCAGGCCTTAGAACCACCTGCCATGGTGTCTATGGTTTTTATCAGCCTCTTTGCCCCAGGCTGGGAGCCCCACAGGGGCAATCTGTCAGTTTTGCTCATCAGAACTGGGAGGGGGCCGGCTCTGCATGAGTACATGCTATAGAGAGATGGGCTGAGTGGGTGAGTGAGGGCGACAGCCGCACCTCAGGACTCCTCCCCGGGTGAGTCATGCCACAAATGCCTACTACCTTCATCTCTGCCATCCAGTCCATGAGGTAGAGCAGGTCCTGAAACACTTTCTGCAGCTCCAGGTTTAGAAGTAGTCGCTCACGGCGGGCAGCCACCATCTGCCGTAAGAAGTCCCAGAGCCTGGCTACATTGTGCTGCCGGGCTGCGATGCGTTTGATGTCATGGTAGTGCTCAGCAGCCAGTTCTGCAGCCACGGCATCCACTGCCTGTACCCGGCCACTGTAGGCCACAATGTCTGTCTCGATGGCTTCATGCTTCCGCACTGCGGCCTCCACTGCTGCCAGCTCCAGCCCAAAGTTGTCCTGTGGCACAGGCAGGGAGGAAGAGATTGGGAACCCAGGGGCAGTACCTCTGCCTGCTCTGTCTGTTCCCCAGAGCATGCTGGCTGCCAGATGCCAACTTTAGGTAGTGGTTCTCTGTTCCCTCTGGATCACCTCATCCTGCCTCACTGTCTTTTCTCCTGGGCAAGCCTTGGGCCCCCAGATCCTGAGTTTCTTTCATGACAGATACTGTGTTTTATCATCTTCCTGCCCTGTAGGAATCCCTACTGGTACTGTCTCTCTCCCATTTCTCCCCACCAGCCTGGATGTGCCTGGAACATGAGTCCGACCTGGGACACGAGGCGCTGGTTCTCACTGAGCCAGGTTTCCCGCATGGCAGCCTTGCGGTCGAAGCGAGCAGCCAGTTGCTCTAGCTTCTCCTGGCGGATCAGCTCTGTGCGCAGGGCCAGCTCTCGCTCATGTTCGGCTTTCTCTAGCCGCTCCCAGGCCTGTGAGGTCGAGACTGGATTAGGACAATGGGACCAGGGTAGAGGTCAGCAGGGCCGGGGCCCAGGTGAGTACCACAGAAACTTGGTCTAGTGGATTCATGGAATGGGATCAGTGAGGCACCTGTGCCTGAAAACCCGAGAAAAAGGGAGAGGTGCCAGGCACACTGTGAACCCACATAATAACTGTTTGCTTCTGGATGAGATATGAGGTCATCTATGGAAAATGCCTGCTTTGTCTGCAGTGGTGGGACTCTGTGGGTTTGTAAACCTTAGTTTACCTGAATTAGTCTAACTCTGTGAAAAACACAAAGCAGAAGTAGAGCTGGTGAAATGGGGACATGTTGAAGAAGACAAAGGACGTGAGGTCTGACTTATTTACAGAGACCACAATCATGAGAGGCTCCCAGAGTCAGGTCTGAGAGTGTGGGTAGTGGGTGTCAGGGCCTGGAGGAGTCAAGAAGGCCCTGGGTAACGAGAGGCATGAAGGGTGCCTAGGCCAGGGATGACCAAGGATGGCCATCTGTGGATGTTAAGGGAAGCATGGACCTTGTTGATGTCAGAGATGAGCCGGCCTTCACGCGGCGTGTAGACCTTCTGGTTGTTGGCCCGCAGCTTGCTCTGGATGGTGAAGAGCAACACCTCCAAGTTCCCTTTCTCTGTGAACCTGAAGCAGAAACCAAGTCAAGATTAGAGGCAAAGAGGGACCCAAAACCTTGACTCTACACCACAGAATACTCATGCTGCTTTTCTTCTTGCAAAAAGTTACAGTGTTTTGTGTGAGAGCCAAAAAATACTAGCAAGTAAACCAAAAGAACATACTTTGGTTTTCTTCTTCTTTTTCTAGGGAACTCAGTGTGTATGTATGTATATATTATATATATATATATTTTTTTTAAAGATTTATTTATTATGTATACAGTGTTCTGTCTGCATGTATGCAAGGCCAGAAGAGGCACTAGATCTAACTACAGATGGTTGTGAGCCACCATGTGGTTACTGGGAATTGAACTCAGGACCTCTGGAACTCACTCAGGACCTCAGGAACTCCAGTCCCCAGGAACTCAGTATATTGACTGGGTTAGCCTTGAACTCACAGATCCGCTTGCCTCTGCCTCCTGGGGGCTGGGATTAAAGGTGTGTGCCACCATGCCAGACCCTCACCTTGTTTTTCCTTTTTCTTTCTTCCTTTCTTCCTTTCTTTCTTTCTTTCTTCCTTTCTTCCTTTCTTTCTTTCTTTCTTTCTTTCTTTCTTTCTTTCTTTCTTTCTTTCTTTCTTTCTTTCTTTCTTTTTTTTTAAGACTGGGTCTTGCTATGTAGCTCAGGCTAGCCTTGAACTCATAATCTTCCTGCCTTGCTTCTAGAGACCTGGGGTTACAGGTGTGCATCACTATGCTTGGCCCAAGAACATTTTTCATTTTTCTTACTATCTATTTATTTATTTACTGACTGCAGCACTGGGGGTGGGACCCAGGGCCTCACACATGCTAAGCAAATTCTCTACCACTGAACTACATCTCCACCTCTTTAAGAAAACTTTCTGCCAGCACCTGGGAGGCAGAAGCAGGCAGATCTCTGTGAGTTCCAGGCCAGCTTGGTCTACAGAGTGAGATCCAGGACAGCCAGGGCTACAGAGAAACCCTGTCTCAAAAAACAAAAAAAGAAAAAACCTTGTTGTTTTATCACAGGTCTCATAAAGTTACCTAGACTAGCTTTGAACTTGAACTTGTGATTATCCATCCTGTCTCAGCTTCCTGAATAGCCTGGATTATAAACCTGCAACTCCAAGACCAGCAGAAACATCATCTTAAAGTAACCAAAAGCTCCACAGAAGTGGTGACTGTTGTTACCCATGGAAGTTCTGGTTTCTTCCTTGCACCATGGGGAGCTAGTGTAAACAGAGCTCAGTGATCAACAACTCAGCAGCTGTAATCAAGACCTTGGCTCTCAGGACTTCCCAGTGTTAGCACATGGTAACTTCTCATTGTCTACATTCTCTCATCCCTGTTTTCCAGATAAGAACCACTTAACACAAACAAGCTATATAAGTTGTCCAACACAACTGCTGAGTGGAAGAGTCAGGATTTGAACCAGGCACCTTAAACTTGGGTGCTTACCACTTTGTTTGCTGTGGCTTACAACTAACTCTTATAGCCCACTTCTTCAACTATGACAATTTTTTCATGTCAAACTCATTTGGAGGGATACTATTTTCAGTGGTTGCTTCATGACTTATTATTATTATTTTACAAAGGTCATGTTGAGGAGTGTCCTTGAGATTACATCTTTGTTGAATGCCCAGAAAAGGATTTTCCAGGCAAACAGTACCTCACACCATTCCCCGGGTTAACATATTAACTCCAAAAGAGTTTGATGATGATTCTCTCTCGCTCTCTCTCCCCCTCCCCCCCACCCAGTATGTGCCATAGAGAATTGTTAACAGCAATCCTACACATGAAGAAATGAATGCTAATTACCTCTGTGATGCTCATTCTACATCAGCCATGTCTTACCGCCAGCTGCTGACTTGTCTGTCAGGTCCAGTCCTGTCTGTTCCTACACTGACACTACGGCGCTGCATGACCCCAACCAGTATTTTTCCTTTTTTCAGGCAGGGTCTTACTCTGATACTCAGGTTGGAACTCAATATGGCTGCCCTTAGAACTCATGGCAATCTTCCTGCCTCAGATGCCCAAAAGCTGGGATTTGCTGGTGCGAGCCACCACAGCTGGCTTGCAACCAGTAACTTTATCTGATGGACTGCACTGACTTGACATGCCATGGCAATCATTCTTCCATGGCATGCGTTTTAAAAATGGCTAGTCATTAGAAAATGCGTTTTGGAACAACTGTGCTGTTTGGATGCTTCCAGCACTTTGAGCTGAGGGAAATGAGCCCTGGCTGCGTTTCTGTACTGCCAAATGTCCCTCCCAAAAGGCCGCCCTCATTTAGGCTTTCTCTCAAGTGAGCACAGCTCTGGGCAGGCATGCTCTGGCAGGGTGGGGCCCAAGAGACACCTACTTGGGTGGCTTCTCCACAGTGCGATAGGAGTTGAAAGACTGCAGCTGGTTCTGGACTCCGTTCAGGGAGTTGGCCAGTTGCCTGTCATTGAGGGTCACAATCGTTTGTTCAATCCACTGCAGCAGCTCAGAGGCCAGGGACTCATATTTCTCTACCAGGTGTTCTGCCTCCATGGCATGGTCCAGGACCTGTGGGACAGGAGGTAGGTAAGTGGGTGTCCTACCCAGTGCTATAGCTCCACCCTGCCCCGTTTTGGGAGAGTAAGACGGACAGCAGGCCCCCTCTGGCTGGCCCCCTCTGGCCCTTAAGCCGGCGGTCCCACAGTAGGGTACCTTGCCAATTCTTTTGCCTTCCACAGCCAGGGCCTTCATCTTAGAGAAGTAGTGGTAGTAAGTGGCCACGTAGGTGATGATTGACTTCTCATCAGGCTGATCCACATTCACATCTGAGGAAAAGGACCATCTTAGGTGAGGCAGACATCAGAACCTGCCTCCCTTCCAGAAGCAGGCCTAAAACCTAACTGACTCACCTCATGCTAGGGGCCCCCAGCCCTCCAATGCTAACACATCTTTTTCCGACCCTTTCAGAGCAGCGGTTCTCAACCTTCCTAAGGGCTGCGACCCCTTCGTACAGTTTTTCCTCCTTTGTAGTGACCCCAGCCATACAGTTAGTTTCGCTGCTCCTCATAACTGTAGCAACTGTAATGTTGCTGTTATGAATCATTATGTGGATATCTGATGTGCAACCCCTGTGAAGGGATTGTTCAACCCCCTCCCCAAAGTGTCGTGACCCACAGGTTGAGAACCACTGCTTTAGAGCCAAGTAACAACTCAATTATTCCAACTTTCTTTTAGATATGGGAAGGACCTGCCAAGCAGAGGGCAAGAAATCCAGAAGCCCAGGAAACTTTTTACTTAGTATATGTGATACACATTAAAGCAAGCAAATAAATAGCATTCCCATCTGGTGGATCATGGTCCCCAGAGGCTAGAAAAATGTCTAAAATGTCAATGGACCGAGGGACAGAAACTATAAGCTAAGCCTCTTGAACCTGGGTGCACTATAATGGGAACAGATACCAGCTCTTAGTATCATCTTGGGGCATGGTCACTGCTGTTGTTCCCAATCTGGTTTCTAAAGTTCAGCCATGGGTAGACCCAAGGAGGTAAGTATCCCTCAGAACAAGCATTCTCTCCACACGACCACAGCTGACAATGACTTGTGGATCCCTGGGCCGTCTGACTTAGGCCGCACTACTCCTCTCAAAGGCTAGACCAGGAGACTGGAAGCCCCTCAGAACCTTCAGAAAACACCAAGGCACGCTGGAACTCCTGAAGTCATCTCAGTCAAGTCCACAGGAGCCTTCACTTTACTCCCGTGTCCTGCAGAATGGTCATGCTTTGCAAATGTTGCCAAGGAACTTTGCACTTAGTCTGCTTCTGTTTCTAAGTAGCCCAGATACTCTGAATGACAGCTGAATGACATGCTTGTCATTCTCAACTAAGAGGGCTACCAGCGGGATGCAAATCAGGGAGAAAGAATCAAACCAGCCAGACAAGCTAAGAGGGAATGCTTCCAACGGGGGCTCTCGGTCTGGCTCTCCTCCCTTTTCCGGCTGCACCCAGATTAGTCTGCCCTGCAGAGGCAGAGGAGGAAACGCGCTCTAGAGCTGGGCTGAACCTGACTCGCCGCTGTACCAGGTCTGACCTTCAGCAGGTCACCTGATCTTTAAAGGTCCCATCTCTTCCGTAAACTGAGGATAATAATGGCGAAGGGATGTTGTTAGGACAAGTAAGGCATGTCAGGTGTAGTGCAGCTCCAGGTACAAGGAGCCCAGTGGTCCTAGCTGACCACAGCACCACAGGCCGTGGTCAGCAGGGACACTGACCATGGGCTAGCTCTTGGTGAGAACCAAAGGTCGCACAGCTTAACTAAAGCCTAGAATTTTAGAATAAATCAGAGATCGTGTGAACCAGAGTCCTCTCATTTTATTTTTAAATGTTTATTTTTGTGGTGCTAGAACGTGCACTATGACCTCTGAGTTTCATTCTTCCCATTTTGGAGATGAGGAAACTAAGCCAGGCTAAGTGATCGGCTCTAAATCATATAGGTGCTCTGGGCTGAGAAAGAACCTACAGCCCGGAACTCTCTCTGAGGCAGGGCTCCCCTTATTCATACAAACTTGGTTTGTTCCGAGGTAGTCTGTGTAGCACAGGTTATCATCAAACTTGCTATATAGGAAGGCTGGCCTTAAATTCCTAACCCTAGCCGGGAGGTGCTGGTATATGCCTTTAATCCCAGCACTCGGGAGGGAGAGCCAGGTGGATCTCTATGAGTTCAAGGCCAGCCTGGTCTACAGAGCGAGATCCAGAACAGGGACCAAAACTACACAGGGAAACCCTGTCTCGAAAAACAAACAAACAAACAAACAAACAAACAAACAAAATCCTAACTCTTCTACCTTTGCCTGCTGAGTATTGGGATGGCAAGCATAAGCCAACTCACAGGTACCTTCTTCCTTCTTTTTTCGAGACACAACTTTTCTTACCATAAAAGTTATCCTTTAAAAGTATAGCAGCTTGGAGTGTATTCACAAGGCTGTGGAAATCATTGCTACCACCTAATTCCAGAACATCTGCATCCCTCCATGGCTGCTGGTTCCCCCTGGCAACCACCAATTTGCCTCTGTCTTCCCTACACCTGTTTTGCAGAGCTCTGGCCCACCTTCAGGATCCAGGAGCTTGGTCAGGCCGAGTTCCTTTTCAGCCAGATTGAAAGCATTCTGCAGATTGTAGTGTGCATTACATTTCTTCAGGGACTCAAAATCCAGCAGGTCTGGCCTGGGGGTGGGGGAGGGAGGGACACAGAACACATCAAAAGCATGTCAGAACCTAAAGAAAAAAATGTAAATTCATTGCTGGTTGGAAATACCCCAAGCCCACTCCCGGTATACCATCCTACTTCCTGGCTCCTCTCCCACATTCTTTTTTCCTTCCTTCTTTTTGAGACAGGGTCTCTTCTTATGTAGCCTTGACTGGCTTGGAACTCACTTTGAGACCTTGAATTTGCTATTCTGCTTCTGCCTCCCAAAGACTGGGATTTCCCTTCATTTTTTCCCCCCTCTATAGCTACACTATGACTCAGCCACTCTCCTGGCCTCTGCTGTGTGCTCCTGGGTCATCAACTCATGTGTTCATTAAACCCGTCTTCTCACCGGTGCTTGTGCACAATGGCATTAAAGGCCAGCCCATCTCTCCAACTGGTGGTAAAGTTGTGCACATTGACATTGGGATACCTGTAAAGAAAGACCGGGAGAGACAGTGAGTGAGCACTTCAGAGCCCTGGTCTGCGATACAAGGCCACTGGGCAGGTTGTGAACCCGAGAGTCCGTCTCAGTGTGGCCCACCCCTACAGCCATGCTCCTGGGCCTCCTCACCCTGCAGTCTTCATCTGGCACCACAGCAGCAGAGCGTCCTTGGCTGACTTCTTCTCCTTGTTGTCTTCTGTCTCCACACTGATGTCCTGGATCTGAGAAAGTAGCAAACAGGGTGTAACTCCCCAGTGGTGTCTTGGTGACACCAGAGACACTCAGAGAAAATCACAGAAAACTGAGTTTTAGGAATGTTGTGTGATGGGACAGAACCTGAGTGAGCTCTTCTTTCCTAGGCTAGTGACACATATTATCAGGTTCAGGGGATTTGACAAAGGACGTCAGTGGAGTGGAAGTGCCTACGAGTGAAGGGGGCTGGTTCTTCCATGTGGAGAGTACGAGCAGGTGAATGCATGTTTTCTGAGAGCTGGCTTTCAAAGACAGAGCTGAAAGAGGGAGAGATCACCTGGAGAATGACAGGTATAATTAGAGGAGTTGAGATGACACTGAGATAGAGTATAACATGGAAAGTGACAAGACAACCCCGTCACCTGCATAGATATGCTTCAATGGCAAACTGCTCTAGAAAGTTCTATATGCTCAGTTTTTAAACTTATTTATTATTATTTTATTTGTTATGTGTATGGGTATTTTGCCTGTGTGTTTGTGCACCATGTGTGTGCCTGGTGCTCTCAGAGGCCAAAAGAGGGCATCAAATCCCCTAGAACTGGAGTCATAAGTGATTGTGAGCTGCATATGGCTGCTGGGAATTGAACCCAGGTCCTCTGGAAGAACATCCCTTACAGTGCTTTTAACTCCTGGACCATCTCTCCAGCCCCTCAATTTTTTATCTTGTCACGGACCATCAGTAACAGTGTGAGGGTATAGTACTGGTTGGTGTACAGCTCACACCTTAGCTAACACCTGGAGAGTACCTGGAATCGAAGGATGATGGTCCACACCAGCCCAAGGGTCAGACGGTGGTTTCCATCCACAATGTCATGGGAGCCCATGTTTTCCAGATGTACTTTCTGCTCCTTCAGGAACTGCAGGGCTTTATCCACATTCTCCAGGCAGTGGATCCGCATCCGGCCCTTTGTGGGCTTTGGCTATGGGTGGATGAAGGGTACAGTGACATGGGACCATGGCTTGCTTTCTTCCTAGCTTTCTTAACAACCTGCCCCATACCTCCCATGATCTCCTTTGGGAACACAGGGCCAGCCCTAGGGCCAGGCCAGAGGTCATGGAGCCCAAGCAAGGTTACAGATGAGGCTTGTGCAGATTAAGATTCCCAAGGGAATTAATTGCACCCAGAGTGGGTGGGAGAAGAAATGTTTTCAATGGGGCCACTGTTCCTGTCTCTGCAAAGCATGGCTCCCATGTAATCCATGTAGCAAAGCCTCTGGGAATGAGACCATCCTCTAGGCAGAGGAGCCATGGTATTTTACTCAGCTCTTTATGGCACCCCCTGTGGTTTGTTCCCTGGGCCAGTCTCTGAGGCTCCCTCTTCTGTCCATTATTCCAACTCACCAGGGTCTCTCCCGAGAGCACCTCCAGGAGCCTCAGGAGGTTGCGCCCGTCCCGCAGGTCGCTGTACAGGTCTCCCACCCGGCATGTCACCCGGGCCAGGTGGGAGTTCACCCACTTGGTGAAGGTTTTCTTCTGCACGGCTTCTCGTTCATCTGCAGTGGTGACAAGGAGTCACTCCTGTCCTTCAAGGACAGTATGCTTGCTTCTAAACACTAACAGGCATGTGTGGGATGGCATGCCTGAGAGAGTCTAAGTGACAGCTGGGATCAGGCAGATTTAGGGATGACCAACCGAACAAACAATAATCTAAACAGCTAAGAAATGAAGAGGCTGGGATGAGCTCGTGAGCGAAGGAAAGGATAAGAAGAGCAAGATAACGCCGGGCACAGTGGCTCATACCTTTAATCTCAGGTTTGAGGCCAGCCTGGTCTACAGAGAGTTCCAGGACAGCCAGGCTACACACAGAAACCCTGTGTATGTGTGGGGGGCGGGGGGAAACCAAACAAACAAAAAAAGAAAAGCAAGACAGACAAAAAAGGTCTCAAGAAGAAAGGAGAGAAGAAGCTGCCCGGGGAGGGGCTGGGGTTAGGTTTCATGCTGTAACAGTGATGAAATACTGGACAGCTTACTCAATGCCTCAGTTTCTCCACTTGTAGGACGAGCGTACTCCTATTTTATTGGGTCACTACAGCAATTAAATGAGATACTGGGTATGATACATCTAGTGGTTGTCCAGTGGGATGTGGCTCCCTGCTGGGGAGCTTTGATAAAGGCAGGCCCTCCTTCTCCTTCAGATGTGGACAAGGGAGAAGGTGTGGCCTGTAAATATGGCAGATCTCCCAGATGGTCAGCACCTGGACTCCCAGTGGAGCGGCTGTGTGGGCTTTTAAGGCAGCTCCCTGCTCTAGGTCATGTACAGAAAAGGTAGGCTACTCTACTCTGAGGCAGGCCTGCACAGTTGGCTGTGGAGGGTCCAGACCTAGGACACTATTACCTCAAGACTCAGAAATAATTTATAAGAAATAAATTATAAGAATAAATCGGGCATGGTGGTGCAGGCCTTTAATCTTGGGAGGCAGAGGCAGGCCAATCTCTGTGAATTCCAGACCAGCCAGTGAGACCCTGTCTCACACACAAACAAAAACAAGAACTTGCAAGGCCATGGGAGCAATGCAGGTGGAGAGAGGCAAGGCCCGGCAGCCTGGTCCCCAGCTGTCAGGCTGTCATCACAGGAAACTGATGATTACAAACCTTGTAAATGGAAAGGGACGGCGAAATAAGCTCTGTACTGTCACCTACTTTGGAGATCAGGATTCCTGCCAGTTGCCCTTAGAAAGCCCATGTGGGGACCCAGCCCAAGTGGTAGGTGTGCAGAGTCATATTTACCTCCATCTCAGCACCAGCACCTCAGAAATTTAGACTCATCCCTTAATTTCACATTCCTGTGCCTCTCCCCCATAAAACAGCCATACACCCAAAGCTATTTCTGACTTTCTCACCTCCAATTCCTGTGCCTATGCCAAACCGGGGGTCCTAATCACCATGTGGGATACCCCTTAGCACTTGTGGTGCCTATGGTGACTCTGGGCCTCTTTTAGGGTTCTAGGCCCTATATGAGTTGAGGACAGATTAAGTCACCTGGCAATTACTGAATCCAGGGAGACCTCCCTGATATAGGCATGCTGGCGTGGGGCACACAGGTAGACTGAAAATGGAAACAGTACCTAGAAAGATCTGGTAAAGCCAGGCACCAAAGTGTAGCATCACAAGACACCCACAACATCCCTAAACACACATACCATGAAATAAACTTATTTGTGCCAAGACGAACATTCCTGTTCAGACGTTTATGAGACCTGTGTGTACAAACCCTCTCCTTTGACACACGCTCTCCATTTTCTACATATCCTCCCTTCACAGACATTCAGAAGCCCAGGAAAACACATAAAAGCTCTAGGTCCTAGGCCTCTAGCCCACGCTTCTCTCCTTCCTTAACAAGGCCAGCATGGCCAAACCATGAGGGTGAGCCACGAGCCACCAGGGGAGACTGCTATGGCCTCTCTAGCTGATGACATGAACCCAAAGGCTCCTTCATCCTCAGCACCTTTGCACCCATCAGGGCACCTCAAGGTCACACCCCTTATGCCACCCCCCCGGTCTCATTCAGTGGGATTTCAGTTGTCCTCATGCCTGGATTCTCTGGCTATTTGCAATGATTTCCCCTAAGTTTCACCACGTTGTCCCTCAACATAAACACTGAGCCACAGGAAGTGTTAGGCATGGGGTTCTGGGCATGCTAGCTTTTCCTATCCCAGGTCCCCTTTGGCACAGCAGGCTCCCCTCTGCCCAGGGAAACTCACCTTGAAGCTGTTTGAAGCGTCCTTCCAGCACACTGGCATACTGAGCAGGATTGATGAAGGCAGCTGGTGAGAGCAGGACGCCCCCAGGGTTCTGGGACCCCTCCAGAGCCTCATAGTAAAACTCACCAGCCCCGTTCAGGCCATTTCCATGTACCCTGCCCACTCCGTTCGCACTCATGGTGCCTGCTGCCTCCTACTCAGCCTGTGGCCCAGAGTCCATGCTCCCTGCCAGGGCAGGGCCAAGAGTGTGTGTCCCCTGAGCCTGTGCTGGGGGAGTCCAAAAAAAGGCTTCTGTACCTGGCTGGGTGGAGTTGTTTCAAGGATGCTGGGAGTTTCAAGGAGTGGGGAGAAAGTTATGGGATGCCTGAGCTTCTGAGACAGTGAGTAGGGCACACCTGGTTGTAGGGAGAGGAGACAGAGGCGGCTCCAGACAAACAGGTCGGACAGTGGCGGGGGAGGGGCAGGCTGCTCAGGAGGCGGAGCCAGTTGGGGCTTGGCCAGGCCCTGCAGGGGCGGAGGAGGGAGTTGCCAGCACCCAGAGACCTGCTCGTCAGGCCACTAGTTGCCCAAGACTAGGGAAAACCTGCCAGAGGGGCCCCAAAGCAAACTCCGGCTTTCAGAAGGTCTGCAGTGAGCAGACCTCTCTGGGCGTCCCTGGGTGGGCTTGTTTCAGGACATCTGAACTTTGATCTCAGCCCTGAGAGCAGAGAAACACTGGAGATCCTGGAAGAGAAGCCAGGTGTGCTGACTTCTGTGGCCTCCTCTGGGGAGTAAGTATTGTGGCTGCCCTCTAGTACCAGCCCGTTTCCTTTGCCCACCAGGCTCCCCAGTCAACACCCCAGCCCCCACCCCAGTATTGGGCACAGCTATCAACACCCCTCCTACCTCTTCCTGGCCTTCGGCTTTTGTCACTGGTGCCTACACTTGTTCCTCCTCATCTTTAATCATTCAGGATTTATTTGGCACCTACTGAGTGAGTGGCACTGTGCAAAGCCAAGCCCATTCAGAGATGCCTCTTCAGGGGAGCCCAGCCTCGAGCGGGGGACAAACTCAAGCAGAGCACTGGGTGCTGTGTGCGTGCACGTGGTGACTGTCCTGATCAGCACAGGTCTTGTGTGCAGAGTTTGATATTGGGAAGTATGTGTCAAATGCTCAGACATGGTAGCAGTACTATGTGGCATGCTTACAGACATGATGAGAACTCTGAGTAGCACCTGTCATATGAGCTAGACCTGGAAAATTGACTGGGTAGCATGTAGCATGTGCACACAGATATAATGATCAGTCACATTGGTTGGCATGTGACCTGTACAGACACAGTGGCAGTTCTGGGAGGATGTATCACTGCAGATATCAGGAGAGTTTTGGGTAGCATGCGCACAATGGCATCAATGACAGTACCAGAGGATTCACAAACCTAAAACCAGGGAACCGGGCACACTTCCCCAAAGAGGTGACGTTTTCCATACCCCCACATTTCCTGTCTCCCCTGAACTACTGAAGTACCAGTATGAGTATTTCATCAGCCAATTCTTCAGTCCCAGCCAGTAAGATGCCAGGAGAAAGTGACCCATGAACCCCACAAGCTGTAGCCATTATCTGGTGCTGGACTGGCTGAGTCTAATCCCCTGGGCAAGCTTTTAAAAGTCATGAGTTCTAGCCGGGCGGTGGTGGCGCACGCCTTTAATCCCAGCACTCGGGAGGCAGAGCCAGGCGGATCTCTGTGAGTTCGAGGCCAGCCTGGTCTCCAAAGCGAGTTCCAGGAAAGGCGCAAAGCTACACAGAGAAACCCTGTCTCGAAAAACCAAAAAAAAAAAAAAAAAAAAAAAAAAAAAAAAAAAAAAGTCATGAGTTCTGAGCTATATGTCTAAAGGTTCTGAACTTCATCTTTCTTGAGAACCTGTATCTGTAAAAATCATCAAGGCCTCCGGATCTCTTCCACCCCACCGGGCAGGTGGTCACTCCTTAAGTGGAAGTAATCTCTCATATTGGAACTGGCTAGGCCATGGGCAGGTCAGTAGCTATGAAGAGGGTAGGATGAATGTGGAAGGCAGACTGGGTGGGCGGCCTTAGGGTGTGTGGGTGACTCAATCCCCAAAAAGCCACTGGCTGGTGGTGTCAGGTGGCAGCTGCCCTCCTGTTGCCATGACCACACCCCCCCCCAAACGCAGGAGGCCTGTCAGACTGGTTTGTCTGTGCCCAGCACAGCCTAGGGGAGAGCCCTGGCCATAGGGGAAGGCAGGGGCGGAGGTGGGGTGGGCGGAGAGCATACCCTGGGAGGATGGGAGGGCTGCTGAGAGAACGGCTTCGGGGAACAGGTAACTAAAATAATAGGAGTAAGAGGCAGCAGGAAGGACAGGTGGAGAGAGTGCCGGAAGATAAGAGGGCTGGACGGGGAGCGGGTGTGGGAAATGATAGTAGAAAAGGGATGGCACTTTGGGAGGGAAGGTGGGGAGAGGCGGGTGGGGACAGAAATGTAGAGCAGAAAGACAAAGTACGGTAGGGACAGACACCTGACTCGGTCAGTCGGGGCTTAGGTCATGAAAGTAAGCTCATCCACGCAGCTGGGCACGTCCAGGGGTAATGTGGGTGGCATCTCTAGGCTAGGGGAGAAGGAAGCTGAGGAATGCTCTACATTGCAGGGAGTTTGACCTTGAAGTTGGATTTGGGGACCAGGGGTCTGTATCTGCCGCTTCAGAGCAGCAGCTTAGAAAATGAAGTCAGTCTTCCCATAAAGACAGAAGATGCTCCCTTCGAAGCTCGTAAACCCACCTCCACCAATCTCATCACCTCCCTGCCCCTCTCTGCCCCTCCTTACCTGCCAGGGCCTTAATTCTGGACCTCTCAAAGAGGCGGGCTGAGCTGCTGTCATTGTCCCAATCTGAGTCGGGCAGGTCCCAGCGGTTGTTGATGTCACTATACTGGCCCTGGATCTCCAAGCTGTCGAAGTCTGTGGGTGACAGAGTGCTGCTCATGGTGGTGGGTGGCTTCCTGTTCCTACAAGAAGACGTGGCTTGTGAGAAGCACCTTGAGGATGCTGAGCCTTCACTCATCATACCCTTCTTCTTTCAGTTTGTTTGTGTTTTCCTTTCCCTTGTCTTTTTGTTTTTCCAGGCAGGGTTTCTCCGTGTAACAGCCCTAGCTGTCCTGGAACTTACTTTGTAGACTAGGCTGACCTCAAACTCACAGAGATCCTCCTGGCTCTGCCTCCCGAGTGCTGGGATCAAAGGTGTGCGCCACCACTGCCAGGCAAGTACTAGCTTTTGAAGCAAGGTTCTTTCTTACTTTTTAAAAAGAGGGTCTTAGTCGGGCGGTGGTGGCGCACACCTTTGATCCCAGTACTCAGGAGGCAGAGCCAGGTGGATCTCTGTGAGTTCGAGGCCAGCCTGGTCTATAGAGCAAGATCCAGGACAGGCACCAAAACTACACAGAGTAACTCTCTCTTGAAAAACAAAAACAAAAACAAAAAAAGAGGATCTTGCCCCCTACTTGAAAAACAACAACAAAAATGCCAGGCCCAGCACTTAGGAGGCAGAGGCAGGTGGATCTCTGTGAGTTAAAGGCCAGCCTGGTCTACAGAGCAAGTTCCAGGACAGCCAAGGCTACTCGGAGAAACTCTGTCTTGAAAAAGGCTTTTAAAATTTTGTTTTATGGCTATGGATATTTTGATGAATGTATATATGTGTACCATATGTTTGCCTGGTACTCAGAGAGGGCAGAAAAGGATTCTGAATTCCCTGGAATTGGAGTTACAGATAGTTGTAAGCTGTGTGGTTGCTGGGAATTGAACCTGGGTCCTCTGAAAGAAATACCACTGCTTTTAACCACTGAGCCATCTTCCCAGCTCCCTAACTCTTCATCATAGCTTCTGGTACAGAGAACATTAACATCTCCCCTGACCATCCTGGGGCCCTTCAGCAGTGCCCTGAGGGATCAGCACTCATCCCAGCCTTCCATGGCCTAGACTATGATATCTGGACCATGTACACTTGCCAATACTATTTATGACCTTAACTTAAGCAAACACACTCTGTCCCCAAATGAGCTTCAGATTAGCTGCTGGGAAGTTTTTTTTTTTTTTTTTTTGAAAGTCTGTAAGGTCCAAAGTTCTGGTGTAAAACAACATTTACTAGCCACTCAAGGGAATAGGTGGTAGAGAATTATAACTAACAGAACGCTAAATCCTACAGTTTTTCATTTTCCTAATATCTCTTCAACACAAGACAGTTTAAAGTCATCAACTACTCCATCTGGGTGGTGGTAGCACATGCCTTTAATCCCAGTACTCAGAAGGATAAAAGAGGTGGATCTCTGTGAGTTCGAGGCCAGCCTGGTCTACAAAGTGAGTTCTAGAACAGCCAAGGCTGTTACACAGAGAAACCTAGTCTCAGAAAAAAAAATACCTGATCTGGGAAGGAAGGAGGTAAGGAAACTTCTCCTATGGTTTGGGGAAGGCTAGGTGGTGAGACTCTAGGTGGGAAGGATCGTGTGTTCACATGGGCACACAAAGGCAGAATTTAGCTACTATCATTAGCTGGTTCCAAAGAGCTGAACATGGCGCTCTTCAAGGTCAGGGCTGCACCAGTATTTTCCTGGGAGTAACCTGAAGAAGGTGTGTTCCACTTTCCTTTAGGTTACTGTTATAAAACGCTCTGAGGATTTATTTGGCTTATACCTTCAAGTTGCACACAGTCCATCACTGAGGGAAGTCAGGGCAGCAACTCAGGCAGGAGAAGCAGAAACCACAGAAGAACGCCCTGCTCGCTGGCTTCCTTTCAGGAACATGCTTAGTGGGCTTTTTTTTAATAAATACATCCCAGGACCACCTGCTCAGGGAATGGTGCTGCCCTTAGTGGACTGGAGCCTCTTACATCAATTAACAATCCAGACAGTCCCCCACAGACATGCCCACACGCCAATCTCCTCTAGACAATTCGTTAGTGGAGACTTTGCTCTCAGATGGCTCTAGGCTTTATCACATTGACAGTTAAAGCTAGGCCAAGTTGTGAAGAATAGAGGTCTCTAGTTCCTAGATTTGGTCCTTCATTACCCTGTAGATGGGCAAGGAGTTTTGCTTTCCACTAGGCCTAGGACTTCTTTCCCATCATTTTCTACCAACAGAGTCTCTGGATTTGCTCTGTAAATATTTATATAAAACTAAATTGTAGGGCAGAGTTGAATCACCCTGAGCAAAGAACACTATAAACCAGGCATGACCTGAACCAGTCCCCTCACACTTTTGGTTCTGAACAAGAAAACAGAGTCTGACTCAGAAGCATTGGCCTTGGCCCTACTCTGTGTTTGGAATTAAAGTCTCCTAACCAGCAGCTGCTCTCGGTTCAGCTGAAGGAAGGGTGTTAGAACCCAAACAGTCTCTCCACAGACCATCCAGCAAAAGCACTCCATATAACACCCAGTTTCCCCTCATTAGTTTATCATACCATTTTCCTTTTATAGAAAAAAAACCCACTACAAGTCCCACCTCTGTGCCTTGACAGTCGTTTCTAAGCATTCTAGCTCTGGACCCCCCATCGTCTTGTACAATATGTTTTCTGTGTTCCAACAGTTGCCAGCTCCAGAGTCTTACGGTTTCTGCTTGAGATTCCCTACCCAGATCATCCCTTACATATGACCCGGGTCTCCATGCTCGGACTTCCAGCAAACCCCCAGCCATGTGACTGTCATTCTCCTTCAATGGAGAATCCTCAATTTTATTCTCCTCCAAGGATTCCTGAACTCTGGCAGAAGGGAGGTGCCACCATTAATCCAGATTACACAGTCCTGCACTCCCTCAGCCTTAGCCAGTGACCTCAGCCAGACCCAAGAGGCTTATGTGGTGGTTAGTGTCAGAACAGCGTTGCCTCCCACTAGCTTCAGGCTAGAGGTCTTGCTAGAACCTCTGCCCACCCAAGTACTGCAGTACAGACTCTGCTTAGCTATGGTTGGTCCTGCAGGCAGCTGGTCCCTCCCTCACTTTCCTCCACTGGCACTGGTCCGAAAAACTAGAAACCCTATTTCCTGCCTTGCCTTGTCCTCTAGTTCCCCCTCTCATGACATCCTGTTCCAGATTAATTCTTTACCTCCCTTAGAGCGTGATCCTTCCTCCTGCTTCATTCAGCACTCTGAATGCAGCTTTAGTGTGCTTATCACGTTTATGACCGTTAGTTGTTATGTTCTCTGCTTGCTCCACTTATAACTCCTTGAGAAAGGAGGTCTCGGTCTCTCTCATTTCTTTCTGGGCCCAGCAGAATAGGTAGTTAATAAAGAGATATCACATGAATTCACTGTCATTCTTATTTTGGTCATTGGATCAATGTCTTTCTTGGGGATGAAGAAAACACTCGTGGGGAGAGCGGTGATGGGGGGAGAGAGCCCTGTTCTCTGCTGGAGGACTTTCAGGGCTAAGCCCGAGCATCGGACAGGGGAGTCCCAAATACAAGTCACATGACCTGAGTGCTGGGCCACTGAAACAGATCACTGCTTCCCTCCACACCCCATTTCTGGTTTGGCAGATCTGGAATGAGCCTGGGACTTTGCATATTTAACTCATTCCCAGGTGGCTCAAAAGATGCTCAGGAAAGGAGCACACTCAGAGGGCCACTGTCCAAGCAAGCAGCTGGAACTACTTAGGGAAGCTCTGAGGACTGAGAAGGCGGAAAGTTCCAGGGGTGAGTGTGACTGCAGATGACTTCTAAGCATGTGCAGGCCTTTTCCGAGGCCAAACTAAATACCTCTTCCTTCTCAGAACAGGAGCCAGAGCCCCAGGCCATGACAGCAAAAATGGAGATGAAGTGGGCTCTAGAGCTAATCAAACCGAATTGATACTGAGAGGAAGGAGGGCAGGGCTGAACAGCCATGAGCAGAGGGTGAATAACACATTAGGGCAGACAGGGAGGGACCTGAGCAAAGTAAAAAATCTCATCCGACTCAAAGTATAAAGGGATGGATGGGCAGGGAGAGAAAGGGGAAAGAGTCACGGTGAAATTCAGGTGCTCAAGAAAGCCAGAGAAAGATGCTCCAGGGCAGAGATGAGGAGAAGGAAAAATAAAGCCCAACCTTTCTCCTAGGCAGCGTTCCTGATAAAGCTCGGGGCTCTGCTATGAGAAATTGAGGGAAGATGCATGGATTTTTCATTTTCTCCTTTAGAATCTGCTGTTTAGCCTGAGCATGGTGCTGCACACCTGTGATCCCTGCACCCAAGAAACTGCCAGGAAGATCACCTGGTCTAAAACCTAAATAAATAAAAAAAAAATCCTCCACCCGGGGCATAATTATTCAGCCTCATTTCCCCTCCCTTACCACCCCCGCCCCTAAGCTTGAGCTTACATCAGTTTCTTTACCAGAAAAGCCTAAGCTCCATCTTAGCTGCTCCTTAACCATTGATCCTGGGCTCTTCTCAACATGCCAAGAGGTTGGCTGCCCCACGCTCAAGCTGAGATACACACGTACACATATGGAACTCACTGTGCTCTCTTCACCTTCAAGAGAAACCGGGTTGTGGATACTGACTGACAATGCCTACCAACCCAGGCTCTCAAAACTGGAATTGTAATGGGGGGGCGGCAGCTGAGAAACAGCCCACGGAGAAATCCCGTTAGGACAGGGCAAGCCTGCCTCTCAGACAAGCATGCAGTGTCATGGGGATACTGGGGTGCAGTAGGCTGGAGCCAGAGTAGATGGTGTAAATGGATGGTGGAACTGGAACCCCAGCCAGGCAGCCTTGCTGGGTAGTTGTATGATAGGCAGACTCCACAGCCCTGTAAATGTACGGAGCCCCAGAAACACCTTACACAACGCTTCCTCACAAACGGAAGAGGTTTCCTCCTCTCTAGCAGCTACAGTCATCTCCACCAAACCGTGTCCACCTCTCATACCAATGCGAGACCTAAAGGGCAGCATGGAGCTAGCTACCACAGAGGTGAGGAGAAGCCCAACGAAGCGCCATAGCCAGCTGCCAACAAGCTGCGGAGCTGGAGGAAGCTGTGTCTTCACAGGCCCCGGACAGACCCTAGCGCGTCCCCAGTCCCACGACCGGCGCCGGCCGGTCCACCGCAGGACCCGCCGCACCACGAAACGCCTGCGCTGCCAGACGCGCTCCGAGCCCAGGCGACCCCGATCCATCAGCGCGTCTGTCAGCCCAACTCTTCCAGACTCTTCTCTGTGCTCCACAGAGGTCCGCGTACCCCAAGCCTCGACCCTCACGGTCTTCAGTGGTACCTGGCTGGCCCGCACAGAACCCGGGTACTCGGCGTCGCATCCTCCCTCCTGGGGTCCCCAGGACCGACCCCACCGCCCGCATGCGGCCGCACAAAGCGCGCCTCCTTGCCGGTCGGGACAAAGCGGGCCGGGGCGCCGGCTGCACCTACCTGGGTGCAGAGCGCTTGCCGGGTAGCGGGAGCTCGGCTGGCCGGGGCGCACTGGTCGTCGCCGCGCCTACAGCCGGGTCGCGGGGGGTGGTTGCGGGCGGTCACAGGCGGCGGCGGCGGCGGGGCGGCCGCGGGGCGCACGGCAGGCGGGCGCTGTCACAGGGCGCGAGCGGCGCGGGGGGCGCGCGGGGCCGGCGGCCGCGGGGCGCGTGGCGGCTGCGCGCGGGCGCGAGCGGCGGGACTGCGGCGCGGCGGAAGGAGGACAATAGCCTCCCCCTGCCGCAGGCCGCCGGCTCCCGCGGGAGGCCCGGGACCATCTGGAGCTCGCGGGCCCCGCGGGGCTAGGGGCGGGGCACGAGGCACCCCCTCCCCGCCCGGCGTCATGGCAACCGCGGCCCCTCTCGGTTCTTACAGTGGTTCCCCGGCCGGGGGTCGCTGACCTTCCCCGGGGCAAATTCAGAACGGCCGCTCCTCCGCCGGCTCCCGACCCCCCACGGTCTTCCGCGTGGATGCCCTGCTTGACCCCCACCTTCCGGTCCTCGGGTACCACCCACAGTTAACGGGGCTCATTCTTCCCAGTTTGGACACTCCACCTTTGTCTCTGATGCGCCTTTGCCGGGATGCGCAGCCCTTTTTAATGTCACTCACCTCCGAGGTTTCCCCGAGATGCGGCCTCCGTTTCCTTTTCAGATGTCCCCTTTTGAGCACCTCCAGGCCATCTCGCTTAAGCGTTTCTTTCTGCCTTGCCCCCTTTCTCTCGTCCTCCTTCCGGCAGGTAGGCTGGCCCGCTTTCCAAAAGCATCTCCATGGTGCTCCTGGAGATTCGCCTTCTCACAAATCAGATTCTCGGAACCGTCATCACAGCGGCTCCTCAGCTCCTCTCATTTATCAACCAGGAGAATTCTGGCCTAGTCACTGTCTTAAGGGGGTTGGGGGCAGGGATGGACATTTCTAGGCCTGGCACGGCTGGGTTTCTTCTTGGTTTATTAGCAGCTGAGTGGTCTACGGTTTAATGGTATTAACCAAGGTGAGCTGCTATCTGCTTAGGAGAAGAAGGAAATATGCCCAAATCAGAGCAAATGCACAGAGTGGGTGCTCGCAGTGGGTGCTAAAAGTGCGTTATGTCATGTGACACTCCCACCCCCACTCCAGCTCTGAAAGTACTGTTCTTCCAGATTGGAGAGCTAAGCTCAGGGAGGAATCAGAAGGAAAAAAAAAAAAACACTGAAAAACAGGATGGATTTTATAGAGACTTTGGGTTATATACTCCAGAAAAGAGGTAGGCCCCTTCAAACCTGGGGAATGTCTGAAATGGACAAGTAAGACCAACAAAACGGATGCTCTTTCCGTGAATTATTGGGCTTAAGGTTTTATAATGGTTTTATTGGTAGCCAAATTTTAGCATTTTGCTTTTTTTTCTGGAAAAGTATGCATAACTAAGACAGCTACATGTATGATTTTCACAAAGGGAAATCATTGTGCTACATGTACTTTTAAAAATCTGCAAGGTAAAACACAATCTTGCTACCACCACTCAACAGTTTATTTCTTCATCTACCTGGCCTTGGTTTTCCTCATACTTTAAAGTGAGTTGGGGGAGGGATTGGGGAGTTTTGTTAAAGACTGCTAATCTGACCTGAAACTCTACCATTAAACCGGAACTTAGCCTTCTCTGGTACAGCTCACTGTAAACTGTAATTCAGGGTATTTATGGTTTTTTTTTTTTTAAACAGTAACGTGTTGGATGTGCTACACCTTTAGTCCCAGCACTTTGGGAGGCAGAGGCAGGCAAACCTGTGTGAGTTCAAAGCCAGCCTAGCCCGTTCAACAAGGGAGTTCCAGGCCAGGCAGGACTGCAAAGAAAACAAAACAAAAACCACATCACTCTTCTTCAGGCAATGGAATCAGGAGAGGACGTAAGCTTCTGCTGTCCCCAGAGGTCAGAGTATTCTGGATGTTCAGGAAGAAAGAGGCCACGGTGCACATAATGGTCACTGTGGAAACTTGGCCAGGGACATTAAAATTGATCATGGGATGGGAATTAGCTGACCACCAAACAAAGTGAAAACCATTTATTGCTGCTACTCATGATTTTGGGAACCGAGGGCCTCAGTGACAGCCTGTTAGATTGTAGCCATTAGGAGGCAAGGGTGGTTGACATAAATAGTAGCTTTTGTAGATTAATCTCCCATTCTCAGCATTGCACATCTTTCAAAAGCCTTGTAATATAAGCATTCTAATTTTCATCCTTAATTTATTGATGAACAAAATGCTATTTAGACACCTAAGTGGAAGTCCACGTTAATAGAATTAACTCATGGTAGAGACTCCTTGTCTTCTAATTCCTAGTCTGTTCGGAGGAAGAGTATGGCAGAATAATCAAAAGTATAGATTTGGGGTCAGGGTAGCTCAGTGGTAGTTCAGCTCCCTACAGCACAAAGCCTTGAATTTCATCCCTAGCACTGGGGGGGGGGGGGGTGAGGGAAGGAAGGCAGCAGTGGGTTTGGAGTTAGACTCCCCGAGATTAAGATCTAGTCAGGAGCTGTGAGTGGTAGTTCACACAAGTCATCCAAGTGCTCAGGAGGCTGCAGTGTGAGGGTTACGAGAATAACCTGGACTACAGAGTGGGAGACTGTCTCAAACAGATAAATAAAATCGAGTTTTGTTGTACGACCTTAGATATGTACTTACCTTCTTTTTGACTGAGTTTCCTCACCTGTAAATGTGAGGGTCGAGTGAATTATTGCAGAGAAAGTAATGGAATGGCATCCCGCCCATAGTAAGCACTCAATCCATGGCAGCCATTATTTTGTCACACTCCTACTTCACTGTACTGTTTCCCAATTTGGAAAGGAAGCATGCTCAGTGAAGGGAATGCTGAGCTCACTCGCCTCAGCTCTGCGCCTGGGTTGCTCTGGAAACCTGTTATTTTGCACTGTAGTGAATCAGTACAGTCAATGACAAGGAGAACCTCTGCTTCCTTTTCCTGTGAGCTGCAAAAGTGAATGGAATGATATCCACCAAGCATGCTGAGCTGCTCAGAGGATTCAGGTTTCCTGCTTAGGTTAAGCATGATTATTCACGGGAAGGTCTTGGCTGTACTGTCACACCTAGATCTGGAGCTGAATTTTCTGTTCTTTCTGTACCACGGAAGAGGTGTCTCTTCTTCCATCCAAGACTGATTCTTCTGGTTCCTGTTCTAAGTCTCAACCCTTCCAACCGTCAGGGCCCTCACTCCTTCTGGTGACCCTTTAAACACGCTTAATTATCTACCAGCTTAAAAAGCAGGAAATCTTGATGCCCTCTATTGTTATCATCCCCATTCCTCCTTCCTTTTGTTGTCACTGACCCCACGGCCTTGTGCTTGCGTGGCTAGTACTATACCCCAAGACAGAGCTGTCTTGAGTCATCTGCACCCATCAGCTCCACTTCCTCAGTTCTATCAAGCATTCATAAAAATATGTTATGACTTCTTATGTGCCAGGTACTGTGCTAGGATCTTGGAGGACCCCCTGGTGGGTGGGGATCACAGACAGTAATAAAATGATTGCTTAGTTATAGCCACAAAGTACAGTCTGTTATGAATGAAAACTTCAGATGTTATAGGAGAGTTGAAGAGAGAGCCGTAACCTGGGTAAAGAGAGGATAAAAGCAGACTCGCTCAGAACATGCCACCTGAGATTGGAAGTGAGAAGGGCTGACCAGTCGGGGAGTGGGGAGTAGTAACAGCAGTCACTGACACTAATTGAAGACTGTTTTTTGCAGTTTACACCTTACTTCTCTCCCTTCTTTCTTCTTTCCCCTTTCTCTCAGAGTCTCAGTATGTAGCCATGGCCAGCCTGGAACTAACTAGTTTACTGTGTAGACCAAGCCGCCCTCCCCCACCCCCAACTTGCTATGATTCTCCTGCCTCTGCCTCCTGAATACAAGCCTATCTCATTTAATTTTTTAAAAAGTTTTTTTATTTTACATGTATGAGTGTTTTGCCTGCATGTATGTATATTTGTGCCTGGTGCTCACAGAAGCCAGAAGGTATTGGATTCCCCTGGAACTGGAGATACTGATAGTTCTGCGTTACCAGGTGAGGGCTGGGAACCAAATCTTTATCCTCTCCAAGAGAGCAACAGTGCTCTTAAACTCTGAGCCATCACTCTAGCCCCCTTATTTAACTCCCTTAGGAACATGGAGAGATAAACATTAAGCCCATTTCACAGATAAGATAATAGAGACATTGATAGAACATCTTACCTAAGATCACTGAAATGGGAAAGCATAGAGCTGGAGTTAACAGAGATATCTATAGCATTTAAAGAATTTTGATTTTTTTTACCTTTAGTGTCCTGGAGGCTCCTGAAGGATTGAAAAAAGGAAGTCAAATGGGTGCCTTTGTTTTTCAAAAAGGCTATCTGGTGTGTGGGGAGGTGGTGGAAAGGAGGTCTGTTTGGAAGAGAAGCCAGTCGGGACATTACACTGGTGCTGGAGGGAGAGAGGATGGTAGATAGAACACAGGGTGGTAGATAGGAAAAACTGGTAAGATGTGGGTAGAAATGAATTTTACACAACTCTGTTGGAGAGAAAAAGGGTTGGGAAGGATATAAGGAGCAAACAGGAGAGAGGGATGACCAGGTTTAAAAGTGGGAGACTATTGGTTTTGGAACCTTGGGTTTAAAGTATCTTTGAGTCAAGTGGAGGTATTGGTTAGGCAGTTATACAGGGGTTTGGAGTCATCTGCATTTAGGAAATCCATTTGAAAGACATCAGTGTAGAGATTGAAGGTGAAAGATGTTTTGATGTGATTGATTTAATGTACACATGGGCACACACATATACCCACAGTCTCCCCCACACAAACCTGGTCATACTGCGTATCAGAAAATGGCACCTCCCTCCTTCCACTTGCTCAATCCATCTTCAACAAGCCCCCTTTCCTCTCTAACATATCCACATCAAATTCAATCTACGTATGTGTGGGGGCCAGAAGTTAACATTGAGTTTCCTCCTCTATCTCTCTCCACCTTACTTTTTGAGAAAATCTATTCTTGAACCTGGAGTTCTCAGTTTTGGTTGAGTTGGGTGATCTGCCTGTCTCTGCAATACCCCAGTTCTGGGGTTACAGGCACTTTGCCACTATGCCTGGCATTCACACAGCTGCTGGGGATCTGAACTCAGGTCCTCATGCATGTACAATGAGCGATCACCCACTGAGTGGTCTCCCCAATCCCTGAGATTGATTTCATGCAACCCAGATATATTTTTTACTCCTCTCGGCTGCTTACAAATGGTCATCGATGATTCTATTCTTCTTCTAGTTGCTAGTTATTGTCCCTCTTGGCATGATAACAACTCTTCTCCTTGCTTATGGTGTCCATGCTCTCTTGTATGTTGTTGGTTATTTTTTACTCTTGGCTCTTTTACTCTTTTGGGGGGCCCACCACCCTGCTCCCAAAATAAATAACACACGGAGGCTTATTCTTAATTATAAATGCCTGGCCTTAGCTTGGCTTATTTCTTGCCAGCTTTTCTTAGCTTAAATAATCCCATCTACTGCCGGGCGGTGGTGGCGCACGCCTTTAATCCCAGCACTCGGGAGGCAGAGCCAGGCGGATCTCTGTGAGTTCAAGGCCAGCCTGGTCTCCAAAGCGAGTTCCAGGAAAGGCGCAAAGCTACATGGAGAAACCCTGTCTCGAAAAACCAAAAAAAAAAAAAAAAAAAAAATCCCATCTACCTTTTGCTTCAGGGCTGTTTCCTTTTCTTACTCCTGTATATCTTACTTTTACTCTTACTCTATGGCTGACTGTGTGACTGTGTGACTGTGTGGCTGTGTGGCTGTGTGGCTGTGTGGCTGTGTGGCTGTGTGGCTGACCCCTAGCATCCTCCTCTCCTTGTTCTCTTGCTCTTTCTTCTTTTCCTCCCAGATTTCTCCTTTTATTTATCTCTCTGCCTGTCAGCCCCGCCTATCCTTTCTCCTGCCTTGCTATTGACCATTCAACTCTTTATTAGACCATCAGGTGTTTTAGACAGGCAAAGGAACACAGCTTCATAAAGTTAAGCAAATACAACATAAAAGAATGCAACACATCTTTGTATCATTAAACAAATGTTCCA